CCCGCTGATTGTAGACTCCACCTTGACTATGAACTACCCCTTGAACCTTGACTATGAACTACCCCATGAACCTTGACTGTAGACTCCACCTTGATTATGAACTTCCCCTGACTGTAGACTCCATAGATGCCACCTTGACTATGAACTACCCCTTGAACCTTGACTGTACACTCCATCTTGACTATGAACTACCCCTGACTGTACACTCCAAACTGTAGACTTCCTTAATTGTGAACTATTCCTTGACTATGAACTACCCTTTGACTATAGACTCCACCTTGACTATGAACTACCCCTTGAACCTTGACTGTAGACTCCACCTTGACTATGAACATCCCCTGACTGTAGACTCCACCTTGACTATGAACTACCCCTTGAACCCTGACTGTAGACTCCACCTTGACTATGAACTACCCTTTGAACCTTTACTGTAAATTCCACCTTTATTGTGAACTACCCGCTGACTGTAGACTCCACCTTGACTATGAACTACCCCTTGAACCTTGACTGTAGACTCCACCTTGACTATGACTACCCCATGAACCTTGACTGTAGACTCCACCTTGATTATGAACTTCCCCTGACTGTAGACTCCACCTTGACTATGAACTACCCCTTGAACCTTGACTGTACACTCCACCTTGATTATGAACTTCCCCTGACTGTAGACTCCATAGACTCCACCTTGACTATGAACTACCCCTTGTACCTTGACTGTAGACTCCACCTTGACTATGAACTACCCTTTGACTATAGAATCCACCTTGACTATGAACTACCCCTTGAACCTTGACTGTAGACTATGAATAACCCCCTTTGTATGAGGGGTCTTTTTTGTCCCAACACCTATTGCAACACAAGACCTCAATGCATGCTGTCTCATCCAAAGGAGCAGTCTCCACGTCCAACAGTGGGATTTGAAACCACAACATAAGAACCAACCCCTTACTTGGCAACTCTAGAAAATTTCTAACCACTGCACCATGCATGTGACAGCACAGCAATTTAGAAGATCCATAAACTGACTCAAAAAAACTTAAATTGTTGCCCAAAAGCAAGAAAAATGGTATCACTAGGATCATCAAAATAATTGGTCTAGTATCTGTCTATTTATCATAATTATCATGAAACTATTAACAATAAAATATACTTTACATGCATTTCATACTCTATACTATACCTCTCATACTGGCCTATCTTGGCCTTTGAAGAACATTAAAAAAGGTATTTTTTGCTCATTTTTAATCATCTATTATTTACAAGTCTACCTATTATTAAATCAATGAAAGTTCTATTTGTGTAATAAAAAAGTGTTCTTGTGCAGTTCTCTTATTCTATAAACCTTTCAAATACATGTATATTATTGTCCCTGCCTTTGCAAAAGTGGGAGGGACAATATAAATCTCATTCGTCTGTACTTCTGTCAATCTGTAGTACTGTCCATCACAAAAACTTTAAATTTGGTCATAATAGTAAGATTCTCAGCCAACCTTGGTCTTTCAGTCAGGTGATGTAACCTAATTAGCATCTGAAACTTACACAGCTTTTCATTCATGGCTGAAATATAGATTTCGGCAAACATCAACAAGTTTAGAGATAATACAATGAAAGTTTGTTGTACGGCAAGTGGTGGGGCTTAATCACATTTGGTGATGTGCCATATACCCTGGAACTAAAAGTGAGAGCCTGCCAGGGATGATCCTGGGTTGGGGTCTTTAAACCAAGACCTTTAAGAAGGGAGGAATGTGGCAGTCAGCCCAGTTAGATCGCCAGTGACCGGATAGCTCAGTTGGTTATTTGAGACCTGACCGGAGATTCAGGGGGCCACGGTTTGAATCTCAGTCTGGTCTGCATTGTTTTTCTCCTCTCCCATAAAAGGAAAAGATCTGAAGGGGACATCAGATCATTAGAGTGAAATTACTCCTACTCTCAGCATAGCTCTATCATGTCTATTAACAATACTCATTTTCTTATACTTGTACTGTCTTCACTTTTTTATAGAATAATGTTTAGGAAAAAGTATAATAAATGTTAGTACAGTAAGAAAAAATGTATGTTAAGAGAAATTTTATTTGATCAAGCCGTTCAATTGAATTTCAGGTTAAAATGTAAACAATTGTTAATCTGTCATTAAACACTTACAACATGTGTACAAACTAATGAATTATTTGGATTTTATAGTAATTTAAAATGGATTTCAAATTTAATTTAAAGTGTAAAAAAAAAGATAGGTCAATTTTTCAACAAATTCATTTTCTCTGATACTTTGATCTTTTGCTCTAGGATACAAAATCCTCTTCTTTATATGATATGAAAGAAATTCAATCACACATTTTTGTCCACATAGTTTGAAATATGGCCTGTAAGAAAGTTGTGAAATCAGACATTCAACGTTTTTCAACATTTATATCAATTAATTTATTGAAAACTTGCATGATGCTGTTTATAAAGACAATATTTTTGTTACTGGTACTTGAATTCAATAAGTTTAGTTATAATGATACTGGTAAATTTGAATATTAAGATATTATGTACAAATAGAGCATACATAAAAGTGTCAAAATTGAAAATAATTCACAAGTAACTTCGCTACACATAAAGTTATCTCACGAGAAATTGTATAATTCAATTTAAAAAAAAAAAATCAACAGAATGATTCCAATGGATCCCAAAATAAATTGTGTCAAATTAAGGAAAATTGAACTGATAGTGTTAGATATTTCATCACAATATTTTATCTTTAATACTTTTTATCTTTAACCTCTTGATATGACATTGACCTTTACAGTACATTAAACATCTCGTAATATGTGTCCAAATATCAGCCCTCTACTATATATGGAACATAAGTTACACTGCATTTCGTAACAGACTTACAGTCTGTACTGCATTTAAACAGCATTAAGCCATTCTAAAATGTGAGCTACCAAGTGACCAATACATGTATATAGAATTCTCTGATTTTTTTCCCCACAAAATATGTCAATTTTTGCTTAAGTAGCGCATAAAATATCTACCAAACTAAGCGATTTTGTCGTCAATACTGGGCAAGTTCTTTTAATTGAGAGTTGTCTTACTGGTAGCTTGTCTAGCATTGTAGTGGATATGCAAGATGTTTTTTTTCACTTTACTATCTGGTTTCATCTCTTTGTATGATATATAATTTTATATTGTGTGTGGACTCTAGACATGGATCATGCTGATAGATGTTTGAAGTTATAAATCTAAGTTTATCATCACTGTAATGAAAATGAACTGTCTATCCCAACATTAACAATATTTCAGTGACATTGCATCTTACTGAACGGTGTGTCGATTTACCCAAATGGAGCCAAAGATGACTCAAATGGACTTCTGTAGACTTTATATCAAAACTAAAATGCATCTATATATATATAAAAATAATTGTTTATTTTTGCATTTAGATATTCATATTGTTGAATATTCAGAATAATGGCTATTGAAATAAATGTGTTTTATGTTTATGACAAACATTCAAATTACTGTATATAAAAAAAAATTACTTTATTCATTACAATTAAGCAAATTATTTTAAAATATATGAGTTTACCAATCAGAAAATTTCACAAAGTTATATTCTTTTTTAGTAAATCAGTCACGTAGCAACAGGGGGCCGGGGGCTTGCTCCACCACTATTTTCCAGACATAACTTTTAGTTTTACTGTATTAAAAATGTTCATTGAAAGCCCCCCTCCACCACACACACTTTCAAAAAAAAGATGCTACATCACTATAAATGATATTACTATTTTATCATAATTAAGTCCCTTTGCTTAAATCGACGCAATTTACTGAATGTCACCTATCATGGATCATCATTGAACATATAATGAATCAATGTGAACAGAACTCATCTAACCAAAAACTATATGATGAATAATGATTGAAAACTGCTCAGTTTTTAATTTATGACAGAGAATGTTAACACCTAAACATTCATAGGGAAAAATCCACATTAGTCTTTGTGTACAAGAAAAAAAAACTTTTCAGCATTATAGACACATTAAAACCACAATAAATAGAGGAAATTCGCGTCACAACTTTATTTGAAGTATTCTATACTGGTTGCAAGTGGCGAGACCATAATTTACTGATTTAACCTTACTTGTGTCTAACATTACATTTATCGGTAAAACAAACGATAATTATTTTTATTTTATCTTGTTAAAATACTGTTTTACTTACAATAGATCGGTTTTGATTGCGAGATTACTAATCATAATCTGTTCTCTCGAGTGCAAACAGCTGATTAAGTTGGATGCCGATCTCGATGTTTAAAAACATTAAACAGTTTATAGTACACTTCTGCTGTCGCTTTCTTTTCCCAAAAAGTTTTTTTTCAGTCAATTAATAAATATTTAATTAAATTAGTCATATATTGCACTTCTTCTTATGTAATTTTAGAGATGAACTATCACATGAAAGCCTAGATCAGATGCCGATCGCGATGCAATAGCGTCGAATGTCAAACACTTATTTTTCAAGATTTTGCTGAAAATATTCAAAAAACCAGAATTCTTTAACAGTCTTGGAACTTTATTACTTCGATTTTACTTCATTTTAAACACTAATTGCGTCTATATAAGGCAATTACAACTTTCCCTGGGTCTAATTATACGAGTGTCGAATTGCACGGCTACCGCTTTTTTCAGAGCGACACTGAGCACTAGCGACAGTTTTCACTGGTACACCGGCAAACTGGCGCGAAGCAGAACAAAGAAATTCAAGTCAACATACGTAAACGTTCACAACATTTCATTTACTCCTGCTAAGTTGTAATTACGATGATGAGCGCATGAAACAGGGTGTCCATAGCATCGTATTAACGTATTTCGCCAGTCAAACACAAAATCCGTCAAATATTGTAAAGCATACACAAAATTTTTAGCATCCAAAGAATCTCACCAATGTACCTATATAAAGGATAATCCAACAATAAATTGAATTAGAAATTCTTCTAACAGAGTAGATTTATGTACCTGCGATAACAAGTGATTGAATGGCTCACAACAAAAACAAATCAAGATGACTGGCGAATGTATGTTGACAAGGCAATGCACGCTGGAAGAATGAAGGCGTGCGCAAAATTAGCTGAATCTGGTCAGTTGCTGATAAGAGATTATCAGATTACGAGAATGTAAACTGGCGAAGAGAAAAATCAGAGTTGTTCTTCTTGCCATGTCAGATGTTTTACATAAATCAATTTAATGTTGTAAATTAAGATTTTGTCAGATTTGTGAAGAAATACGCTTTAGACAAATAGGGTATGAGGGGACTAGAGAAAAGAATTTGTAATCTACCTAACAATAAACTTTCGACTTCAGTTGTTTATGATAAGTTATATTTTCCGTGCCATTATTATAGACCTAATGTAGAGAGATTTTTGCTAGACAAGGCCTGCTTCGCTCTGCTCTATACTGGGGTGTTTGATTTGCAAATAAAAAAAAAAAACCTGGGTCATCTTTAAAATAATGTAAGCTTGTCCTCTCCTGACTCATGGTAAAATAATTGAGCAGGTAGGTAGGCAAGAATTTTTTTTTCCCAGAATGTTTCGGCATATTTGTTGACAGGATAAGAATATCATGTCCTGGAAGTTTTTTGAGTCGGGCCATTTTCAGTCGGTTGGTCTGGAGAAGGCAACAAACGTGTATATGTATAGATCTAAAAAAATAATGTGCTTGCTTGAAAATGTCTAGAAGATGTTAAACAGTCGTTATTAGCAGGTTTCTGAAGGCATAACTCTATTAGTGGGTACAATTTAAACCGATTCTAGTGCATTCTGATAATTCGGGAAGTAAAAGGTAAAAATGATGAAGCAAAATCTAGTAGCACTTCTTTTTGTAGTAGCTTTTCTTGAAATAGATAAATAAAAATTGCATGCTGTTTTAAAAACATTTCAGGTATTTTCACAATAGGGGTAGGGTGTTGCATTCGTGTCCAAGGCACCCTTGATCTTCTGGTAGCTCTTTTACTACATCGCTTAACACAAGCATGTCTATTAGTTCTACATTTCATATAAATACATTAATTTTCCTTAATCTGTCTTCGATTGATTGTATGTTTTTAACGTCCCATTCGAGAATTTTTCACTCATATGGAGACGTCACCGTATGCCGGTGAAGGGCTTCAAATTTTGACCTATACTCGGCACTCAGGGTCATTGAGCAGTGAGGGTTCTTTATCGTGCCAACGCCTATCGTGACGCGGGACCTACGTTTTAAAGGCTATATCCAAAAGATTCTTGACTTTCACTTCTAATGCCGAGCGTTTATGGAAGGAACAGTCACTACCTATGTTTACGTCTGAACCCGGACCTCCCGCGATCACGAAGTGAACGCCCACACTAGGCTACCGTGACCGGTAATCTGTCTTCAAAATGCATAATATTATTCGAATAAAAGCGTGATATTTTCATCAAACTGGTAAAAAAAATGGAAAAATTTCAAGCCGAAGTATTTTTAGATATGATACAGCCAAACCACGATATCTCGAACTCGAGATTATTGGGACGTCCAAATCACACCGACATATCTAAGGTATTCGAGATACAGATGTTCGAGGTACCGAAATGCAACTGTATATATAATTTAATTGATTAGATGCGCTTTTTAATTGTTTGATGATCTCAATTACATGTACACAATCGAGAACAATTATAGCTCTCAAACATTAAATTAGGCCTCTGAAGAAATAATTTTTTCGTATCTCTTTCATTTTCTAAATATTCCTTTTATTTATTGTTTTAGGGTAAAGTATGAATTGTTCTCCTGCAAAAAAATTGCTATTAACCGAGGCTTACATTTTATTCTGTACAAAATATCAAATTCTAAACATTTTGCAATGAACACAAATGCAGGAAATGGGTGAAAACCCAAAAGCCCCGACGCTTCACTTAAGTTTTTTCATATAGGCGGGGATAAGTACTTTATATGTATGGTCTATGGTCTCTAAATTATGGCATTGTTCCTACTTTTGTTATTACCCAAATCTTTACATTGCAACTTTTTTTACAGATATTTTAAATTTTATTTTTAAGATGCATGACAGTAAATTATATTACATTTTTTTCCATCAAATCTACCCCTTTTTAGAATGTGGAAATTTCTGGAAGTACGCTTATAACATATTATCGCTACCCATGGCTTGAGACAGGGGAACCTTGCCTTGCCCATAAATTTATAACTGATTGTTGATACTGATCTTACGCCATTAAAACATTGGACAATTCTTCAATCTGATTAAAGCTCTCTGTCTCCAGGTGGCAAATAGACCTTGTAGTTACAATGAACTGCTTCAATTTGATTTGGTACAAAGATAAGCTATGGCCCCTGTCACATTATAGAGAATATAACCCTATCATTTAAATAAATAATCTAGCTAAACAATCTGTGTATAGTTGATAATGTTTATTAAATTCTTTTAGCATTTTCAGTAAACAATAATACTGGACTTTATTAGATCAAGATAATTGATAAATAGTTTTTACCCATGCTTCTTCATAATAACACCTGAAGTACAAATATATGCTCTTTTTTTAATGATACATATAATCTTATCTGGTTTGAAGGAAACTTGTTTGAAAATTGTCACAGATAAAAAATATGGCTTATAATTTTTCACTTGGTTGTTCATTTCCAGGTAGGTACCAAGTGTATCTCTTTGATACTGTCAGAAATGTAGAAGACATAAATTACAAATGTACTAATATTTATTCACCATGTACTTGATTTCATTGTTTTGTGTTCCAGTAAATGTAAAAAAGTTTAGTGATAAGAAGGCTAATATTTTCTTCCAGACGTTTGTAGCCCAGTAGGATATAAGTATACTTAGCACAACACCTGAGAACTCAAGGGTAGATGTACTTCAGAACAGTTGGAAACCATCACTGTACTGTTGAAAAGGTCACTTTCTATTTGGAATGGCATCACTAAGACGTCATGTCTTCGATTCATCAGTATTGATTTGTCCATCACTGTTGGATAGCTACTCATTGATAAGCTATATAAGAACAAAAATAACTTTTATCACATAGAATATTTGGAAATTTCAAATAAACTAGGGAAAGAAACGTGTAATTTGACAATCATAAATACATGTAAATAAAAGATCAATCAAGAGTTTTTATTTGAGACTTTTTTCTTCTGTAAGGTACAGTTATTCAATTTCATTTTCTTGAAAGACCTGTATTAAGCTGAAAGAATTAAAGATCTTAGCTATCAACTGTTTGACCTGACCTAGGAAATTAGAGGCAAAATTAAATTAATGGGTAATTATTGTAATGGGAGTAAATATCTGAGTAGGTGTTTCATACGTATGTCATAATAACAAGAGAGTAATTATTTTTCTCAAAGTAGACCTTTATTTATTACTGCTTTATGCATTGAACATTTCATTTTTTTAGCATACAATGTAACTGACAATTTTCCTGCCATTACTCATATTAAAAGCATAAGTAATATGAGAGGAGAAAAATCTACAGCACTATTTCATATCAAAATGTGATCATGGAAGAATTGAAACTTAATAGGTCGTAAATGATAATTTGACAGATTTTGAAGGACATTTCAATACATTCCAATTTTAATACCAGATAAAATCTTTGTTACTAATACACCTGATGTACACTATTATATTGTCAAATTCTAGTGAACAATCTGAATAGATGGACCAGTATCATGACAACCATAAATGGAGAAAAACATTAAAATTCTAGTTCTTGTTTAACTTTGTCCTTTGTTTTAAACTGAGAAAATAAATTGGCATTGAGATGCAACTGATAGAAGTACAGTAAATTCTCAGTATTTTGAACATGGTTGAACTGTCAAAATCAAAAATAACTCGAACCATTTTCAGGCAAACTAGTTGTACTTTCAGACAGATCTAATAAGCCTCCTCTTTTACAATTTACAAATATCCTGGTTTCTTAGTAGGGTGAATATGGTATTTTTTTCTTTTACAACCCCTTCTCTTGTTCAGTTTATTGCAGTTTCATATTCATAATAAATATTTAATTTTGAACTCTTTATATACCTTACATTCAAAATGAGTAAAAAAAAAAATGAAATTAACATTTACTTGAAAAATCCCCCACTTGCATTCTAATATTGATCAAACTATAATCAAGATCGATGTATATTAATTCATAATGTTCACCCCAAGTTAATTATCACATACATTTCTGGAAAGTACGTTGCACTATTCATTTATCGTGCAACAAAAAGTCCCAGCATTTAATTACCTACTTTAAAAAGCAACCTGAAAAGCAAAATGTAAATTAGGTTGATCAGGTGAATTGATTCAGATATGGCTGAATAGAGCAAGAAATTCTCCCTTAATATGTTTTCAATGTCCTTGCAGAGAAAATGGCTTTTCCCGATGATTGATTTTGCCTATGTACTCCTGAGAGCCGATCACTGAATGGAGACTTTTAAAAATATGTTGTTGCAACATATCTATTGTCACAATGGAGATAGGATCAACTTTTCATACACAAAGACAGGGTAAATTCTTAAGCAGTGTGTTAAACTTCAAAAAGACAATAGAAATGCACAGAGAAGGTGATTTAATTCAAAGACTGTCAATGCTATCATGGGTCACAAGTGTGTTTTAGAGAAGTTCTCTCCTTTCTGAACTAATGATTGGACAAGGACTTCATTCAGTGGATGAAACAGTGTGTGTATATAACAGTGCTGTGACAGCAGTTCTATTTTGCAACATGAAAAACCAGAGGATTATGGCAAAGAGGATCGTGGAAAAATTTACCTAATTTGATACCATTTGTAGATGGAAGTAAAAAGGTTTGTTTTCATTTCACTGAAAAAAGATGAACTTTTACTGAAGTATTTTTTTCATGTCTATAGATACAGTGTTGTTTAAAGAATCGTTTCTGGAAACTTCATAAATTAAGTGTTAAATTGATTTTGTATGTCTAATTGAGTTTTAAATTGCCTCAAAAGTTTACAACAAAATTAACACCTTTCAAACTTTTTTGTCTGTTGTGAAAATTATATTGTACAAATTTTTTCAATTTCTATAAATTCATGGACTTAAACTTTTACAAATTTTACATACATTTTACATTACATTAAAATACATTTTAATATTGTTGAAAAACTAACATAAAAATTGGCACAATTCAATTAAGTTCAAAACAAATATTTAAGCTTATAATTGTTCTTTTTTAGAGTTTTGTAGACTTTTGACCCTCCAGCATTTTTACGTACAGACACTTGAAATTTCTTGGACATTACATTAGGCAAAAAATAAACCCTTGACATGGCAATAGTGACCTTGAAGTCAAAAAGCATGTAATTTAATTCCATTGTCCAGGCTTCAATGAAACGCAATAATGTGTTTTTGTTTCTTAACTAAATCTTGTCAAAGTAATCTTGCCTTAAATGTAGATTTTATGGTTACCCATGATCAGCTTAAAATTTAATAAGATTGACAAACAAAACTAAATTTTTCTGAGGCTTAAATTTCAACCTGTTTCTTTGAAATGGATAATGTCAGTATGAGAGTATATTTAGTCCATAGATTTCTTATTGATTGTAGGAAAATTATCTAACCAGGGTTTATAGGGAGATAATTTAAGTGTCTTCCAGGAATTAAAGGATTTTAATTGCCCTGACTTTGTATTCCCCAGCTGCCCAAATTCCAATTACAATTCCTTGTAAAATTTCATGGTTATAATGAACTTAGATAAAACAAATTTATGGATACTTGTGAAGCAAAATGAATTTGTGTCCCTTTGATGTTAAAAATAATGAAATACATGTATACGGTATAATACTTCTTTTATTGCTAATCTCTTAAGATCACAAAATTTAAAATGAGGAGCTGATAATATTTTGGTAATAAGTGTTTCTAATTGAAATTCAATTTATCAGAAAACTTTAATTCTTGAATGTCACTTTTGCATTTAATAATTCCTTTAAGTTAACATATCTTGTCATACTTGGTGGAAAAATGCATGAGCATGCAATTCCCTATGGGCCTAAATTCTTTAATGAATTTGTAAATTGGATATGAAAAAATACTCATAGAACAAAGTAAATTTGATTTCACTATAATCAAGTTTTTCTGTAAACATGTCAATGAAATGATCTGACTGTAAGCCCTTGGACTAAATCTTAATCCTTAGTGATTTAAAAGTCAATTTCTCATTATTGTTTTCTTTGAGAAACATGTCAGCATGGCCTCGGCCAGTAATTCTAAGCCTTATTAGTGAAATTCTTTCTTCTTATTGGGTACCTGTAAAGTGCGAAACGAAATAGAAACGAAACGAAACGAAACGAACTGAAACGAAACGAAATCTTTGGAACCGAAATCTACCGAAACGAAACGAAACCTACCGAAACGAAACGAAATCAAGACGAAACGAAACGAAATCAAAACGAAACCTAAGAAACAAAACTTTCAGTTTTATATGGTCTATTTTTACTTCATATGAAATTTATATAGTTCAAGCACCATAGGCAATTGTTTCACTTCAATCATACAAAAGGAAATTGAAATTTTCCAACAAAAAATAAACCCCAATTTTCAATGCTTATATAATATATATCTTTGCAAAAAAGTAGGGGGCCAACACCTTAGGACCGTATGTACGTAGAAAGGATACACAAGATTCTGGTTGGAGTTACATATGGGGCGTCGTACGTTTTGGTATTTACTGGCAAAAAGTGATATCACCTATCGAATAGGTGATATCACCTATGCTACATGTATAATTGAACGATTAAACCAGACACCTCGGAATGGAATACTAAATACTCTAAGTCTCTGGTTTATCCTATGTTTTAAGACATTCGCAATACAACCGCATAGGCGTCGGAAGCGGGCTAAGCCCCCTAGCCCCCCCCCCGCCTTTTTTTTTCAAAGATAGACCTAATATAGACATTAAACATCGCTGCGTAGGTTTAGCCCCCCCCTTTCCACATACACGTTGTAGTTTAGGTTAAAATAATGAGGAAAGTGGTGTTGTTTGGAAAAATTTTGCTAATGAAGTTCACCCCCCCCCCCCCACGTCCCCCACACAAAATGGGCTTTTCGTGTTTGGGCGGATATTTCCTTTTTTTTTTTTTTTGCTTGTCAGGTGTTTTTTTTTTAAGGTATAAAATTGTTTTTCTTATACTTAACCCCCCACTAGAAAATACTGCACATATTAAGACTATACATGCGTAGTACGCTCGTGCATATTTGCAGCTGAAAAACGTGTAAATACATTATTAGACTGAGAAGGGAGCATAATTTATCGGTAATTAAATTTTATATTAACAATTGCTTGAACTATATAAATTTTATTTGAAGTAAAAAATAAAGTCCATATGCAGTTACACATACATGTATATATTAATATACACGTACCTTAATTTGAAAAAAAAATTGATAGTTTTGTTTCGTTTCGTTTCGGTAGGTTTCGTTTTGATTTCGTTTCGTTTCGTTTTGATTTCGTTTCGTTTCGGTAGGTTTCGTTTCGTTTCGTTTCGGCAGATTTCGTTTCGTTTCGTTTCGTTTCTATTTCGTTTCGCACTTTACAGGTACCCCTTCTTATTAAATCTCATGTAAGAAATTAAAATCAACAGGTGCAGAAAGAGAAGAATTCATAAAAACATTTTTTTTTCTAGTTGTTCCATGTACATTTTAATTGTTTAATGTGCAACACATTGAAAATATTCTGGTCATCTTCTTTCTCTTAACAAAAATTTATGCATCTTTAAAAAAACATAAAAATATTGTGCCCTTTTTCATTATATGTGCTCTTTCTGCAGTCATGACTAAAGAATAGGTTATATCATCATTTTTGTCTAGATGGAAAGATTTAGTCTAAACTAAATACTGTGCAAGTTTATTACTTCTTGAATATCACACTTTGCAATCGTTTTTGAAAACAGGAAGAGAGTTTAAAAAAAATCTCTGAAATTGCACTAAAAAAAAGTTTGATTTTTTGCAAGACTTTTGTCATTAATTTAATTAAAATCATTTGACAGACCTGTTTACCCATAACGTTGTCTCTCAGTATTTTTCTTTAGATTTGTCCGTGAGATTTGGAATTTAGTAAGATTTCATTTTCCATCAATTTTACATATATTAAAAGAGAAAAACTGCTTTTCTGATTACAAAAACATGGTTTAACAACAAGGTCTTTGTCATTTTGTAATACCATAGCGTTTTGGCAACCGGATATCGCTTTCTCTTATTTAGCGATAAATAAAGGAAATCTACGACAGATCATGTAACGAAAACTAACTGTTAAATTCCAAACTAACTTATTTCTGATTTCCGTATTTTCATAATGGCAAAACGTGAGACGTATTTTAGACTAAAAATCTGTAAAAAATACGGCGAAATCGTAAGAGTAAACAGGTCTGATTTGATCTGCAACTTATCAACATGAAGGAAAGCAATTAGCTGCAGGAAGTTTTAGTTTTGCTAAATTTCTTTTGTTACATATATTAAAAAATCTATCTTACTTGATCAATAATTTTCACGGATATGAATAATTGATCACCCACCCCTTTCCAAACAAATTCATCTTGTTTGTCATTTCTATTTTAGAAATTTTTAAATATTGACCATTCATCAAGTGCTCATGATCAATATATAGTATAACAATGAATATTACTGCAAACTTTTTCTTTAGGAGAATTTAACGATTCTTTACAGGTATAAAACAAATATTGCTCTTGATATAAAGACTAAAAACATCGTAAGTTTGTTTACGTAATACCTTAAACATATGAAAATGATATTTTGTCAAGATTTATTTTACAGCTATTTTGACCCCTATCAATATTTTCTCTTCTGTTTTTCAAAGGCTTAAGCAGGTATCGAATTTTAGTGCCAGTCAGTCAATTTTATTTGAAGAACGTGGCAACGGATATTTTAAATGACCATTGGGGGGCCCAATTCGTATCACTTCTGAAGGATAGATTTGACAGCGTGCACCTTAAATTCCCAGCACTGGCACTTACCTGTGCAGTGTTGAAACTGAGACTATACCTTTAAAAGAATGTCAAAGGGGGGTTTAAGTCTGACAGGAAAAGAATAAACTCCTACTTTTGGCAGCTGTTTGGAACTTTGAAGTTTTGAAGTTACTGAAAGTAGATCTTATAATCAATGAAATTGGACAAGTTACAAGGAAACATTCAAGTGGTGAAAGTACCTGGGGGAGATTTTTTTGTGTTGATACAAACGTACAGGAATTGTTCTGTAATCTCTAAGGTGCTTTCTGACTTTTTAAGTTTTTTCCCAAGGTGAGGCTTTATGCATTCTGAGTGTGCAGGATCTGATGAAATTGTTCCCTCTATCACCTAAAGGTGATCACCGCACCATATATATAGTTTAGATGGTTCATAGGGAATTTAGAATGCTAGTGGCTGAAGAGGAACTTAGTGAAAGATTTTGACTTTTGCAGATATGATTGAGAAGCGGTATGTTTTAATCTTATTATAGAATTGAACAATGTACAAAAATTTTGATAGCATTTTTCATTCAGTCGATTCTTAATAATGGGTGAAGAAACTTTGTTGAAAAATGATCCATCTTATTATTCAATGGTTGTTATTTCTATGGATATAAAAGTTCTCTCATGTACTTTTACTGTTGATAAAATATTAAACTGTTTGTGCTGAAAGCGTTTGTAATAGAGTAAGAAAGATAGTTAATCTTGGAATCTTTTAATTAAATGGTTAGGGATCATATGTACACATTCGTAAATCTCCTTCGATTTTCGTTGTCAATGAATGTCAATTTTACTAAGGACGATAGAATCCACGGCTTGTAATTCACACAATGGAGGCAATTTTCTGAATAAAAAAGGCATATAACACTTAAGTCTGCATACTTTAGTTAAGATTGTTGGATGAATTGGGATAAAGCTTACTTTTAAAATCAATATTGTAATGAATAGGTGATAAATTATAAAAATTCATAATGGTGGATGGAGGTATTGTATATACTGATGTACATGAGCTTTGAATGAAATTAAACTGTGTTTAAAAGGTAAAATCTACGAACTAGTATTTGGTTTAAGGAAATTGCTGGCAGAATTTGATTGGACTAATTTTTTTCATACAGTCAGGCTGAGCATTATCTTTGGGATGACTGTAAATTATTGAAGATATTTTGCAGGTTCATGTATTTTCCTGCTTAATTTATTTTGCCCTAAATTAATGTAATGGTTTACAAAACAAATTAATTGATTGTTTGGGATTTAGTTCTCTCACTTAATTACTAATTCAGATATATGTGTAACTGGTCAATTGGTCATTGAAGAATCATTCATAAATTTGCATGCATATTAGAGAAACCTATCTGACTATATTTTACAAGTCTTCATTCAGTTTACCAAATTCAGCATTATTTTATTAATTTCAGGCCAAAAAGCAGCCGAGCCAGGGCCAAGTCTGCTGCTACTGCAAACAACAGAGGCCAGTTAAGGATGGGGAAAGGTAAACCCCAAAATGGCCCCACTAAAGTGACCTTTAACCAGGATCCCCTGGCGGTGCCTCGGCCCCACGTACCCGAAAGACAGAACCTAATATCACAGACAGACATGGTGATCAATTCTCCACCAAATGACCAACTCCAAAAGCTTCTAAAAGAGAAACCGGATCTTCATCCTAACACAAGAGACTTCTTTGACCTAATGATAGAACGTCAATACACTAAGGTTAAGAAGATGCTAAAAGAAGGAAAAGTGGATGTGAACTCTCGTGACACTGACAATCATTTACTTCCGACTCCGTTACTTATCGCTACGGAACTCAACGACGTAGAGCTTGTAAAGTTACTACTGAAAGCAAAGCCCAAACCTGCCAATGTTAATGATGAAAACATCAAAGGAAGAAGACCCATCTGGTAATTAATCTAATTAAAACAAATCATTTAAATTAATCAACCAAAAAAATTTATTTCATTATTGAAAATACTTACTTTGGCATACTTTATGCAGTTGCAATGACAGAACAGTCTCCACATTCAATATTTGGGTCTAATTCTTTTTCCTTGAACCTTTGATTTGCTTATAATGCTGAATCCTAGTCATTTATAATTTTTTAACCTGTACAAAAGACATAAAATTCATTTTAATATTTTGTATCTTTGAATTACAATACACTTGCAAAGTATAATTATTGTAAAACATTGATTATTACTTCAGTATTGACCCCTCATTACAATACATTTAGAAAGTGTAATAAAAAAAACTGTATGCCCCTTTAAACCTTTGATTGCTTATAATGCTGCATCCTAGTCATTTACAATTTTTAACCTGTAGGTAAAAAAGAAATATAATTCATTTTAAAATTTTGTACCTTTGATTCATAATTATACACTACAGTGTGATAATACAACAATGTATTTGTGTATTGTTACACCCATAGTACAACAATGTATCAGAGTATTGTTACACCTGTAGTAAACACTTTGACTGCTTAATTTTCAGGTGGGCAGCTAGATGGGCCAATGAAGAAATCACAGACCTGCTACTGAACTGCAGTAAACAGAAATGTGAAGTCAATTTTGTTGATAAAGAGTCAGGTACGCAATTTGCTAATCATCATATCTCATTAAAATTGCCATAAATGCTTGATACAGTGTATATTTTAAGCATTATATCAAATGGTATAAGATGCTATTTCAACATGTTGAATATTTTGTAGAATTTATCATCAAAAATTTATCTTTTAGCCTTTTGTGTGCTGAAATAGTATCTACCCATACAATTTGGTACATTTTACACCTTAACAATAACATGCATTTCTATTTGGTGCACATACTCATAAAAAATACTTGGTTTTTTTCTCCCACAGGATGTGCTCCCCTTTACAGAGCCATTTTGTCCAATGCTGCCAAAATAGTCCAGCTTCTGATTCATGCTGGAGCGGACATTAATCTCCGGATCCTCGGCCTGGGTGTCGGTGCTGAAACTCCCCTAATCAAGTAAGCCTCTCAGAGATCAGGATTTCTAAAATAAATTTGATCTACATGAAAGCAAATCATGATAAGTGCATCTATATATTTATAGATTAAAAATATCAAATTATTCATTTTTCAGAGCAATTCAAAAGGACAGCAAGGAAATATGTGAGTTGCTCATAAATTCTCTTTGCAAACTACATGCCAAAACAACAAGTGGACTGAATGCCTTACATTATGCTGTTGGATATCGTAGATATGATATCTGTGAACTCTTGCTGGAAAACGGGATCAAGATCAACTCCAAGACCCCATCTGGAGTGACCGCTATGACAGTCGCTGTTGAGCAGCAGATTCCAGCAATGGTGAAATTGCTTTTGGAATATGGATATCGCACAGACAAAAGGTACAAGTGGAAAGAGACTCCACTCCAACATGCCATCAATATTCATTCTGAGGAATGTGCAGTAACTTTGATTCATTATGGTTGTAGTTTGGTCCCTGATGCCAAATGGAGGGGACCATCAAACTTTTTCATGGCTGTGAATGAAAATCAGATGAAGGTAGTCAAATTCATGGTGGCATTAAAACCAACATTTCTCAATGAGAAGTGGCTACAGCGAAAAAGGTGGCCTGTTTCTATATATAGAAAGCCTGATATAATCGAGTACTTAGAAAAAGAATCTCAGAGAGTGCAATCCCTTAAGGAACTGTGTCGTGGACGTGTCTTTCAATACCTTGGTAAATTTGGCATTAAAAAAATAGACAGTCTGCAGTTGCCAGACAGTATGAAAGAATACCTTAGATACAAAGAATTCATCAAAGACAAATATTATGTGCATAAGAAATTGGACTTGAAATGTTGTCCTTTCGAATGCCCGTCTTACTGTGCCAACAAACGCTGCCTCCCGATTGAGATTTCTTCAGAGGAGGAGGACAGTGAATCCAGTTCAGGGGAGGAGGAACCCAGCAAGGGAACTTTCTGTAAGATCTGCATGATAACACATCCCCCTGACATGACTGATAACCTCCACCATCAACCTATTGGTTACAATGGCAGGAAGTGACATCACATGGCAAAAAAAACAAAAAAACTCTGCCATCAACCCATTGGTTTTCAATGGCAAGAAAAAATGTCTTGTGGCAAGATGAACTTTATCTCCATCAATCCATTGGTTACAGGGGCAGAAAGTGACTTCATACTATTTAACACCATGCTTTTCTTCCAGTGCAATATTAGATGGTTATTTCTTGAACAATGTCTGTTAAAGCATATATATTCTTTCATTAATTAAAAATTTATTTAAAAGGCATTTTTATCAAAATGAAAATTACCGGGTAATGTTAAAACATACCCAAAAATTTCTTAAACTAACTCAACAAAAGGCATCATAATAGCTAGGATTGCTGAACTTTCTATATTTAAATTTTAAATTTTTTTTTAACTGTAACAATACATGTTTATACATTCTCAATGTTTTGAATGTAATCTGATCCTTGTAATTCTTTAAACTGAAAAAAAAGATACTATTAACAATTTACAAGACTGTAAGTATGAATTCAAAATTGAAATAAGTATAAACTTGTCCCTTAAAAAGAGATTTAAGTAAACAGTAAACTCTACAAATTCTTAATGATTTATCATATTGTATGTACAAATTTGAGTGGTATGTACAACAAAAAGTGGTGAATTTTTCTTTCCAAATTTTATTTTTCAAGATTGAGCACTGACAACACAATCTTGCTGCATTAATTAGCATTTATTGATTGTTGCATCTTGTTTTTAATTCTCTGAAGATAAAATATAATGTTATTTTTAAACTGTTAAATATGTTGAACATTACATTGTATTAAAATTTAATATATGTTTCAATGAAAGTCTTGTCTTTGGTTATTTATAGAGCAACATGCACAGGAGTCACAATTCTACATAACAGTAGTTCATTGTGACCAAAATATAATGACTCCATCATGACCAATTACATATATAACAGTACTGTTTTATCAAAATGTTCCAAATTTTAGGAAAACATTCAAAATATAAATTTTTTTCCTAGAATGATGACATTTATGTAAAAAAAAAACTTACTTGACTTCTTCATGGCTCCTTACTGGATTGCTCCTTGAACCTCATATAAAAAAGAACAGTCAAAGCTTATATTAAGTGAACCACATGAAACAATATTTGAGACAAATCATTTCTGAAAAAAATTTATACATTATATATGTTAAGCTTTCAATCTGTGGGTATGTACGATTTGTTAACTTATTAATTAAATGAAATGAGATTATTGAATGATTTTAACTGTTCAAAATAAATTTTCAACCTGTACACAGTAAACTATCTAATGTAGCATTTCTAGAGACTGATGCCATATCTTATTAAAGAAGTTCCATAAAGGCAAATCCAAATTATAGGTGTTTGCTTATGAGTAAAGGGGATGCTCACTCCTCCATGGTATCCGATCCAACCTCTGATGCTTTAGAGGACCATGTTTTCTCTGCTCCTGATTTGTATATGTATTGTTTGAATGGACCTATGAGGTTGAATATAACATTATTGCCAACCAATCAGAAAGTAAATCACATGCCTGTCATCATTCTGAATATTTGGGCGAGGGGATTAGTAAAAAGTCAATGTTCATACTGATAACTAAGAAATAACAAATGACTGTCTTAAATGTTCTTTATTATTAATTGTACACTGCTGATTTTGTCAGTTTTAGAGTTTCTTTAGGAGATTTCATGTGATGGCATTTCTCTTTAGAGTTTATTTGGCACACAGAAGACTGAATGTATGATGTGATTGTCCATGGAAGCACTTTGTTCTGTGACTGTCTGAATTTTTCTCAAAAAGAGAACATGGAGAACACCCTCTCACAATCTGCTTTGCTGTTTGGGATACAGCATGTGCACTGAGCAATTCTACACAGAATTGGGAATATTGGTGCCCAATGCAGTGACTTATTTGTCGGTGATTTTCCCTATCATCTCCCCAATTGAGTCTATTCTCATGATGTGTGTCCCTTCTCAAAGTTTGGAAGCTCACAATCTGGAGAAACTCCCCTTCCAATTTTGGGGAAGTCCTTATCCTGAACTATGGCAGGAAATTTTCTGGCAATCTCCTCTACAGACTGAAAGGTGGCCTCTTCCCTTCTGTGAGGATTCAAGAATCCCAAACTGTTTACAACTACAACTCAGGGTCCTTAAATGGAAATGATTCATCTTTTTTTTTTCTTAGGGGTGGGGGGGGGGGGGGGGGGTCGGTGATAGCACAGTAGAACCCTGTACATTCCTAGAATTAGACAAAAACAACATGTGTAAAATATCTCTATGTCAGTTTTTGTTTATTAATACAACATTCTTTTAACACATGAAGAACAAGTATTGCATGCTACAATTTTTAAAAAGATATTTCATTATAGAAACTTATTTATTTACTTTCTTCACTTAATAAGTGCTATAGTACTGTCGATCAGCTTAAGAATTCCAACTGCAAGAATACTATCTTGCAGCTGCATGTTTTTTGGATTTTGGAAGTCAACACTGATGAGGTCCTTGGGAGTTTTTTTTATTCCTAGCTGCCTTTCATGTCATTGAGCATGTGGAGGAGGTAATTAAACAAGGAGGAGAACGAAGAGGTGGCAAAGGTCATGAGGATAGAGGCATGGTAGACTTAAGAGTTTTCCATAACATAATAATTACCTTGAAAATAATTCTTAACCTTTTCCATGCACTCATTTCAATCTCATCAAAATAAGGCTCATTCATCTTCTTATGGTCTAAATATAAGAAAATCATAATAAGAAATAGTTTATAACACTTGTTACCTTTTTGTTACCTTTTTGCGTCAGTCGGTTAAAAATGGAGCCCCCTATTTCAAACAAAAGTAAAGATTTAGTTATCAGACAATAAAAGTTACCCCCCTTTAGAATTTTTGAAAATGGCGCGCTTTATAAACATCCGGGAACTTGAACTAACCCAAAATGCCCTCGTTTCTAAACTCATCACCGCCATTTTGATTACTTAGCACTGAAAAATATGTCCTTTGATGGACAAAATACCACGCAGCTACAAGTAGAAAACATAACTGGTGAGAATACTGAACTCTGTTTATCCTATTGACTAAACTTCAATGATTTTTGAACTCTGAAACAATGTATAAGCTCTTATCATGCGGGCTAATTTCTGAGTAGTGCGTCCGTGTTTCCTCAGAAATGAGTACTGGGCGCAGTGATATGTTTTTCATTCACAAGTTCTGTTGATTGTAGTATTCCTACACGGGACCGTGATAAAAACATTTGTACGCACTTTATTTACGGTCTTTTTATGTTTTTATTGTAAACGATTTATCTTTTAAGTCGAAGAATTGTTATCGGTGAACGGGATGTATTTTCCATTGTTTCGTTGACGTATGGGGGGTGATGTTGACTTCGAACTAAATCTTACGGAATATTCATAGGTTTTCTTGCGCCCAAGTCCTTACACCCATTTGTGTAGGGCAGTAGGACTATGTGCATGTTCCTGCTTATTGTCAAAAAAGACGTAGACAACATATAGCCTACTTCACACAAAATCAAATGTAAGGACTATTGGGATTATAGACCTTTTCAGTAGGACTAGGCCTAATAGACACGTTTTCACATCAGAATTTTCAGAAATAGGTCCCCCGATGTGACATTTAATATTCAGCAGATGACACTCTGATCTTCATTAAAATGACTGATAATGTGATTATTGCTGTTTGCCTGGTCATATATTAAAAAAGAAAAAAAAATACACAGCTCTTGCATGACCAGAACTTTATATTTTTTTCTTTATTCAGATTTATATGAGCTCATGAAAATTAACCTGTTCACCATTTAAAATTCTGATTTACATTTAGCCTAATAAATCATTTCATGTTGTCAACTCTTATTGTGTGATCATAAATTTTAATCTTTATGACAATTAGGAATAAACAGGATAGGCTAATTGTTGCACTTTAAGGGTTTAGGCTTTTAACAAGAAGTGCTATCAATATTGTCTACACGTTAGTTAATGTCCAGTATAAAACTGCATAAATTGGTTAAATAATGCATATAATTCAATTAAAGCTAGCTGTCAGAAATAATCAAAGTAGAATATCTATGAGTACCCTAACTCTGTCACCTTTTAAAGTGGAAATTATCCCATGTTTCTTCAAATAATATTTTGGGATACCTCATCTTCATCTCGGATATAGGCCCAGTATAAGGATCGAGGTTCCAATCCATCAGAGACTTCGAGTAAAAGCAAGATCTTGATACAAAAAAAATTAAATCTAAGCATTAAGTATACTGATACAAATAAACTTAAATAGTATTAATAACTTGCTATCTTTTTCATTGTAGATTATGCCCAGTTATTTTCTGGAGCAATCTCCCATGTGGCCCATGTCACAGAGACGGGGGAAATTGTGGCTCTGGTGGAGTCCCATATACTGGACCCACAGCAGGAAAACATAGACCCACAGGTACCGTTTATATTTTAAAAGATTTAAAATAGACTTAATTGATGTCATTAGAATTCAAGCCCAGAAAGTAACAACAACTGCAGTTGAACAATTAAGCAGTAAGACCCCCAGATAACCTCATTATTTTTTCTTGCTTTCTTTGCAGACAGTACAGGTTCAGCACATCCAGGGAGAAGATGGACAGGTGGTGGAACAGTTGGTGTTTGAACAGATTCCTATTGCTCATATCATCACCACCACTGAACAAGTCACAGAACAAGAACCACCAAAGGTCAAGGTCAAAACTAAGGAGCCAAGGCAACCCAGCATTAAACCTCCAGTTGGCAAGGTTTGCCATTTTCTCCCTTGTTTACAAAGTTTTACTATGTATACCCAGTAAAACATATGTTAATAAGCAAGAAAATCTATATAAGGAACAGATTTCAAGATTCAAATGCTGTAATGTACTTGGTAATGGTGATTAAAGTTTATTCACAAAAAAGAGATGGATTCCAAAATGGTTATTTTCTTTGTAGGGACCCTTTAAGTGTGAAACCTGTGACAAAACTTTCCCCAAGTGGCCTCAGTACCAGAGGCACATGAAGGCTCACGAGGAGGACAAACCCTTCAGGTGCCCCCACTGTTCCATGTCCTTCAATGTTAACGACAACCTGAAGCTCCATGTGGCCACCCATGTCCCAGCTAACGGAGAACCTACCTGTCCCGAATGTGGAAAGAAGTTCTCCAGGATTGCCAGTCTTAAGGCACACATCATGCTTCACGAGAAAGAGGAAAATCTGATGTGTACCGAATGTGGAGACGAGTTCAGTTTACAGGTTTGTTGCAAAAATTCTGAATTGGAGACAATGTTGAAGGTTTTTCATGTCGTTGAGTTTTACTTTCAAAAATACTTTGTAATGGGTATATTTTGAACCAATTGAGTAACATTAATGTGTGCAGTATCAAAGCTTGATCACTGCTTATTCAGTACATTCAGTAGGAAGGATTTTGATTGAGGTTGATGTATGAATGCCTAAGGGAAGCTTAGAAGTTGTTCTTCATAGTTTAAATACATGCCTAAGTTAAAGTAAGATTAAGACTGAAGATAATGTTCTTACTTCCTCAGAGCCAGCTAGATAAGCACATGCAGGAACACCGACAGGAACAGGAAGGAATGAAGACATATCCTTGTAGGCAGTGTACACAGGAATTCACCAAGCCTATCTTCCTAAAGGAGCACATGAAACAGCACTACAGAATAAAGTGCGTGAACCAAATTATCAAAATTATATTATTTTCTTTCTTTGAAAAAAGTTTAAAAAAAAAGAAAACCATGAATATTTTATGATATGTGAGGAGAAAAAAAGAGATGTGTTACATAAGAAAGTCTGTAATTCTTGCACCCAAGTAAATAGGGCATTCCAGCTGATGATCATTGTTGCTGAAATGACTTTATATTCCTTTATAGATCTTCCCTGTCTCATAGACCCTACAAGAGAAATGTGGACAGGTCAGCCTTCCATTACAAATGTCAGCACTGTGGGAAGACATTTCAAAAACCCAGTCAGCTTCAGAGGCATAATCTCATACATACAGGTATGGTACAGATGCAAAGGGCAATAACTCCAACAGTTCAATTCTGTTAACTTGTACAGAAAAATGTAAAGGAACACAAATCATTTTCATTTGACTTCATAATAGCTACACATAGATCATTAAATTTTGTTTCAGAAATATGGGGGGAAAAATGTTTAAATATTGTGATTTTTTTTTTTATTTTTTAGGTGAACGACCATTCAAATGCAATCAATGTGATAGAGCATTTAATCAAAAGGGAGCGCTAAGGATCCACATGAGTAAACACACGGGACTAAAGCCCCACCCCTGTGATTTCTGTCCCATGTCTTTTGCCCAGAGAGGAAATTTAAGAGCTCACATTCAGGTACATCATTCTGGAGGGTTTCCAGGAAGTTCATGTTTTTTAATCACTTTAGGAATTTTTTTTTTCATAATCATTGTGTTAAGGAATGAATTTGAAACTATATATTCATTGTTTGAGATATCATTATAGTACCAATGCCCAACAATATTTCAAATAAACTTTACCTGTGCAAAAAAATTTAGATCTATTTATTTTTTAGAGAGTACACACACTGGGAAGGGATGGAGAAGATGGGCCTACCTACCAGTGTGATGAGTGTAGCTGTGTGTTTAAAAAGTTAGGCAGTCTTAATGCTCACATTAGCCGGGCTCATCAAGACAGTGAGGTGAATAAATGCACAAAACATCTTGAAGCAGGTCATATCCATGTAATTGTAAATCCTACCTGTATTTTGTAGTTTAGAGTTTTTGATAATTTCAAATTTTTTTTAAATTTGATTTTTAGGTTCTCCCAACTCAAGTTGGCATAAAAACTCCTCTGACTGATGTGGTCCATATAAATCAGGTAAATATTAATTCTTGGATTACTTATAATAATAATTTTATCAATGATTATTTGTGAATTTTTGATTAAGACAGTGAATTCTCTCTCCTTAGTTTAAAATGGAAATAATTTGATATTTTTGTGCATTGATATTTGGTAGGTTGGGGACATGACAACGTCAGATGATATTCTACGCCAAGCCCTGGAGAACAGTGGTCTCCCAAGTGGATCAGAAGTGGTGACTGCGGTAGAGAATGTGGCGGTGTCAGGTGCCACTACTGTCCCTGTATCGTCAGCCCCCACCACCACCACTTCAGATCCTCCCGCGATAGCCCCCGACAATATAGTACGTCCACCCCCTCAGTATACTCATAATATCTCAACCATGACAGTTCATGACACTGCCACGGGGATGGTGAAGAGACATGTGATCAGAAAGGTAGGAAATAGGGACCATGATAGGAGTGCACTGCATAATGATCAGAATATAAGATGTTAGATAAATTATGAATATTTGTTTGAATGTTCATGTAGATCAAAGTGTATTTTACTGTTTGATATTTAATTACAAAAAAAATGCTACTAATCAAAATTCTGATTGTTTCATATGTTAGCTTAAATGCTGCGATACTTTTTACATAAGAAATGCATACTATCATACTTCAGTTTTTGGCATAACATGTAGGTAGAAAAAGTAGGGATATACACTCATGATAGATAAATCGACTTTACACTTGAACAGGTAAATGGAGTACGGTGGCACCAGTGTACATATTGCAGCAAAGAATTTAAGAAACCTAGTGATCTAGTGAGACATATCCGCATTCACACCCACGAGAAGCCTTATAAATGTACCCAGTGTTTCCGAGCCTTCGCGGTGAAGAGCACACTGACCGCTCACATCAAGACCCACACGGGGGTCAAGGACTACAGGTGCACCACCTGTGACAAAATGTTCTCTACACAAGGAAGCCTCAAGGTCCACCTTAGAATGCACACAGGTAATCTCCCAAGTATAAAGATTAAAATGTACATTTTTTTCTTACAATAATAAATATGCATATCAAATGAAATAATTCATTTGTAGAATTTAATACAAAGAAATTTTGTTTAAAAAAATTAAATTCCAGGAAATTGATTTTTCCAAACAAAGTTTTCTCAAGATTGATTTTTCACCCTTCTAAGATATTTTATTAATTTGGATGTTACATGTAGAACACTTTTTTGTAAATTTGTATTTTGATGTAAATTGATATCCATTAAATTAAACCATGCAAATTAGAATCTCATTTAGATCTGAATATGTAATATCAACATGTATATAAAAATATATTTCTTAGGTGCCAAGCCCTTTGAGTGCCCTCAGTGTGACAAGCTGTTCAGGACTTCAGCTCACAGGAAGTCCCACATACAGTCTCACTTTAAGGAATTGCAGGAGGAGGCTGACGGGAGTCCAAAGAAGAGGGCCTTCAGACGGATCTCACACAAAATGGGCGACCTCCCAGATATCCCACTACAGGAACCCATACTCATCACAGACACAGGTAAGAAACAATAACGGGGGTCAATTATTGTGCATTTTTGGTTACCACCACCAGTGAAATTACAATTGTACTGAATATTGACTTCTTTCTTAATGAGAAACTGGCTCTTGAAATTATGTCAGCGTTAAGATTTTCTTGAAAATTTTCCCCTAGAAATTAAGATGGTTCAATAGAACATGTATGATTTTTTTCTCTACTGATATAATTTGTGTTCAGAGAGAAGAGAGTAGGACTTTTTCTTTTATTCCTTCCTCAGGTCTAATCCAGCAGCCGTCCCGACACAGCCTGTTTAACCAATATCTGGGGGAGGCTGGCAGTGTTGACAGACCTTACAAATGTGGATTCTGTCAGAGGGGGTTCAAGAAATCCAGTCATCTAAAGCAACACATCAGATCTCATACTGGTGAGTGTGTTACTGAAAGTTTCTATTGACAATGAAGTTCTATAAGTCATATTTACACAGGCTGATTATGTAGTAAATCCAGGATTTTATGAATATGACATTAGTTAATGTCACGAAAAAGAAATGTTAACATCCAGGTTTAATAAAAGGCTTACTTTGAATCTTAAACATTATTATATCTTTGTATAAGCTCTAGGGGTTGGACGATATACCGATACACCGATACATACCGATATTTTCCTCCAAGATACGGTTTACGATACAAGCATTCAAATATCGGTACAAAACGATACACGAACGACCCATCCAAAAATTGAAAATGAAAGTACCTGTCCTTTGAAAATGGCGGCTTGTACGAAGTGAAGAGATTATTTTGATATTGACCCAAGACACACTTTAGAACTAATAAGTCGTTGATTAGGGGTAAAACGTTTTCACTTTTAAGCAGGCTCGGGAGATTGGACAAGAAAAGTTCAGTATGAAATGCGTTCTATACACGGAAAATATCGTTTCCAGAACATTTGATATTATAAATTGTTAATCTATCTCGTACTTTTTTTGTAATCTCAACTTGGCGACACACTTTCAGTAATGATTTGATAATAATGTAAATATGATCGATGTTTTTAAATGAATTTTTAGTCCGTGTTCTCTGATGAAATACACAACAATTTGTAAACAAATTCTGAATAGTAATAATAGTACGTACATGTATTATTGTTTTGTACAGTTTTAGTCAATGAAATTGATGAACTTCAAGTATTAATTTCATAGCAAAGTTAACATGATTTGATGTAGAATAATTTGTTGATTTAATGTCTAGACAAAAAAAATAAAATACTTATTATTTGGAATAGTTTTATAATTTATCATAATATCGAGATACGTATCGTATCATGCCAATATATCGAGATATGTATCGTATCGCAAGATGTGTGTATCGTCCCACCCCTAATAAGCTCTGTATTTCTTAATGTGAAATGAAATTTTACTGAAGAAAATACCGGGGGTAAGTACTTCTTGATATGTAAATTTTTATTATTTATAGGAGAGAAGCCTTTCAAATGTCTGCAGTGTACGAGATCATTTGTGTCCAGTGGAGTTCTGAAGGCCCACATTAGGACCCACACAGGACTGAAAGCCTACAAGTGCCTGATCTGTGACAGCATGTTCACCACTAACGGCAGTCTGAAGCGCCACATGTCCACACACAGCGAGGTCCGGCCGTTCATGTGTCCTTACTGTCAGAAGACCTTCAAAACAAGCGTCAACTGCAAGAAACACATGAAAACACACAGGTAGGTTAAAATTTCATGGATGTTTTTTTTTTACATTAAAAGAATTCGTAGAGAGAAAAAAAGGTCAATGTAAATCTGAATGAAAATTTGGCAAAAGAATATAGAATATTGAAACGTTTCGTTGACTGTATGATAAAGTGTAGGAAAATGTGTCTTTTTGGGAAGTGTTAATGAAATTACCTTTATTTAAATTTGAACAATATAGAACTTCTTATCTTGTAAAATGACATGAAAGTTTTTGTTACTGCAGACATGAGCTAGCTATACAGGCCCTGCAGACTGACGACCAGGATGGTACTCTGGTGACTGACAAGAAGGAAGAATCCGACCAAAATCTGGTCATTGAGAACCAAATGGTAGAACTGGGATTTAACCAGCAGGTATGTTTATCTGCGATAGTTTTTTGCTCAATTTAGAAAGTAATGTTGCCATAGAAAATGTTTCTAATTGAGTTTGAGAAGAACTTCAAATATTCCATTTGTATAGGGTGAAATGCATTTTTAAAAGTTTTGAAACTTGTTTCAGGAGCTGACTGTACCAACCTCAGGAGCACAGGGTGACTTAGGACAACAGTCTATCTTAGCAGCCGATTCCCTGGATAACTTCCAACAAGCCCTGAATCAGCAGGTATGTAGCTTTTTATTATTAATTCATTCATAAATTTGATTCAGTGTGAAATGAGGTGACAGTAATTTTCCAGGTGAGGCCTAACTTCAAAAGCATTAAATAAAAGGATGCAACTACAGACCATATTGTATGTTAAATACATTTTGAATTGCTGTATATTTTATTCAGTTGTTTGGACAACAGCAGACATTCACACAAAGTCTGCTAGGTTCTGGACAACAGAATTTCAGTCAGCTGAACTCCCAGATGAATGCCCAGTCTGACAATACTCAGATAAATACAGCGGACAACAGCCAGTTAAACAGTGGTAGCCAGTTCAACACCCTCAATAGCCAAGTCAACACACAAGTACCAACACAGATAAACACACAGATAGGAGGATTCAACCAAGACCAGTTCAACATTCAGGTAAACATGGAATTTTCACAAGTTCGCTATCTCAGTGATAAGTATAAAAGGAAAAAAGCAAAAATGTATTTGTACAGTATTTGATGCTCAAATGTTGACATTTGAGTTAGTGCCATAAGCTTTATTACTTACTGTTCTTAAAAGTATTGTTCTTTTTGGAGAGGATTATGAATTTGTAAACAAATAAAAGCATCAGTTTTTGAAACCTGTCAAGAGATCTAGAAATTTACAATACTTGGAGTTGATCAGTTTTTTTGATTTGTTAATTCTTATTACATAATTTTTTTTTTTACCTTCACAGCAGAGCAACCTTGACATCAATAACCTACAAGCGACCTTCAGCTCTCAAGGTGTCACTTCCTTGACGACCAGTCTCCCTAGTACGTCCATGCAGAACATACTGCCTACCAGGTCTGTCTATCAAAAGTTTAAAGTATATCACATATTCGTAAAAAGTAGTTCCCTTCAGAATCTGGTATCCTGAAAAAAAAGGTGCCATACTACAATCTCAGAATTTATAAGTATCAACCCTCGATTTACAAATATGTGTACAACTCCTTACTTTAGATTGATATGAATAATGGAAAAGTTTTTAAGCAGGGTATTATGGGTATTTGTAGTGACATGACTTTACCCGAGGCAGAAGAACCCGAGACAGTGTCGGAGACTGAGCAGCCGAGCGCCGTCATCCACAGACAGAGGATAGAGCCTGAGCAGCCTTACGAGACGCTGACGGGACACAGTCGTAAATCTTACCGCTGTGATATCTGTATCAACAAAACCTTCAAAAAGCTCAGCCACCTTAAACAGCATTACAGATCTCACACAGGTTAGTATAGATAACAGAATCTCCAAGGAGTCTTGATAAATCAAAAAAGAAATATATCTGTTAATGACAATCCCCTCTGACTTATACAAGATGGAAGTATATGAAGCTGTAAATTTTGCTAATATATTATGAATTAAGGTTGGTCCGTACTTTCAAAAATTTCTGTCAAACTAATATTTTTTTATTTAAATCTCTTAAATAACTCATAAACTAACTAAAACACCCATAAAAGACACATTTTTGCAGGTTAATTTTCATACAACATGTCTAGGAGTACCTACCTCTTAAAATTGAACAGCCAAAAGTGAACATAAAGAAGTCTGATATCATATTTTATTTCGCTATGCACCAAATCACATCGAATTCATGTTAAATCTTGTGAAAATCAAAAATAATTAATAATCCAGGAAAATATTTGAAATTTTCTCTGAAAAACATTGAAAAATTGATGCTGAATCTGTTCAAGTCTATCAAAAAAAAATCTCAAAATCTCTTTATTTTTAAAAATCTCAAAATTTAAGTTGTTTATGTGCCATTTTTTCCTTAAAACTATAAAGAATTATATCTAAGGTTCACAAAAACATATATTTTATTAATCTTGACCAGAAAAATTTAACAAAACAACCTTTTGAACACTTATACCCTCTATTTCGGAATATTAAGTTTTTCAATCATTCTTTGCATAATTTAAAAAAAGGAAAATTTAAAAAGGAGATACATACTTAAAATAAATGAAAAAAGATCTCTAGTTTGTTTAAAAAATTAAAAAGTTTTAGGTCTATAAACGCAATTAAGAATGATGCGTCTTTTTTTGTACTTATTGACATATAGATCCTATGAACAGAGTACAAAGTGTTAATTTCCATAACAAATGTTTATCAAATGCTTTGTATGCACAATAACACTGTAGTACACAAATATATACTTGCTATATCATTATCAATCATCAAAAAAGATTTTATTTCTTTTGACAAGTGATAATAAGAATTTGTATTGGTGTGTAGAATTAAAACCGGATCCGTAAAAGTATGGACCTTCCTTAATGAAAAAAAAATTGAATTGAATGTTACTTGTACCTTTTTTCTGTAGGAGAGAGACCCTACAAATGCATCACTTGTGACAAGAACTTTGTCTCCTCGGGTGTCCTTAAGTCCCATATGAAAACTCACATGGGAGCCAAGGATTTCCGCTGTGAGATCTGCCAGGCCGCCTTCACTACAAACGGTTCTCTGACTCGCCACATGAATGTCCACATGTCCTTCTCAAATCGTCCTTATAAGTGTAGTGAATGTGATCAGACATTTAGAACAACCAGCCAGTGTAAAAGACATGAAAAGCAACACAGGCCAGGTATTTTTATCAGCTGTAGTTTGAAAACTTAGTGTTTTGAAAAGACTACATTTTCAAGAAAATGAAATTTCAAAACTGTGATTAAATTTTTTGATAAATTATTTCTGTAACTTGAAATTATTTCAGCATGAGTCATGTTGAGAGCAATCACAGCAATATAAAGCAACATTTGCACTCTATTACAATAAAGTTTATGGAATAAATGTCTTATTATTTGTACATAGACTATGGAGAGGAACCCCAGCCATCCACCCGAGTCAGGAACAAAGCCGTGGTCCAGGTGTCAGAGGAGCAGGCTAATGTGTTAACCAGAGATCAAGAACAAGAAAATCTGTCACTCTCCCAGAAAATCCTACTGGAATCCTCAAAGAAAGACAACTCTGCAGAGGTATGTACTTTTGTTATATATTGTCTGTTGTCAAAAGACTTTTATTTTTTTTAGAATGTTTTTTGCAACATTTATTAATGGTAAGAATTATTGTTTAGTGTTTTAGAATCAGATTGTCTGGCAAATATTTTAATAATCTGTAGACAATTATGCATAACATCTCCAATTATGCATAACATCTCCATTATGATGTTATAGGAGAGATTTTACTTATTAAATGACACAGTTGGTCTCAATCAAGAATTCAATGAATATTTTTTTCTCTAAGAAAAATGACGAGGAAGCAGAACAACATACAGGAGCAAAGCATGCTCATCAGTGTTCCCACTGTCCCAAGTCCTTTAAGAAGCCCAGTGATCTGGTGCGACACATCCGAATCCACACGGGGGAGAAACCTTACTCATGTGAGATCTGTAGCCGCTCATTTACAGTCAAGTCAACTCTTGACAGTCACATGAAAACACACGGGACCAGTAAGTTTTCATAAGAAATGTCTTGAGTTATGTAATATACATATTAATCCTCAAATTTTATATTTTAATTATTTATTGATTTGAGTATATATTCTATAGTCTTCATCTCTTAATTGTACTTTTTTTAAGTTCAGTAAGTTGAAATTTGGTGAAATTTTGCATACAATTTTGCAAAAAAAAAAATATAGTTCCAGCCTGATTCTTTTTGATATACAGAGTTTTATTTTTTGAAAAAAAACAAATGCTAGTCGTAAATACTGTACAGTACAGTAATACATGTATTATTTTGTTTTATTCAGACCACAAAAAATTCAGCTGTCACATATGCTGTTCAAGATTTTCTACCAAAGGAAGCCTTAAAGTTCACATGAGACTGCACACAGGAGCCAAGCCCTTTAAATGTCCCCACTGTGATCTCAGATTCAGGACATCCGGACACAGGAAGAGTCACATCTTAGGTCACTTAAAACCAGACCTGCCAAAGAAGAGGAAGACAAACTTTGTGAACGACGATGACCAGGCCAGCCAACCACAACAACAGATCAACATGATCAACGTTCCAGATATCCAGAATGTGATGAGTACTAGTCAGGCCAGCGGTCAGGTGATCAACATCGATCCTGCTCTCTTCCAGTCACAGAACATTATGCCTGTGTCCCTGTCTCTACCTGATAACATGGGACAGATCCAGGAGAGCACTCTAGCTGCCCACGTGTTACAAGGACTAGAGAACGTCCAGTTACAGTTGACCGGTAGTGTTGGTCAGGGTGGAATACAGATCACAGGACTGGACCCCAGTATCTTCTCCCAGACAGTTCAGATCGATGCTAGCTTACTACAGCAGCTACAACAACAGGGGAATGTCAACATCACCATTAACCCCAGTGTGCTAAATCAGGGCATGCAGGTGGCTGATCCCAACCTGGTGCAGGGGCTACAGGTAAATGACCATGTTAAAATATCTTAGTTGAGAAATGTACTATTTGATTTAAGGTACTTAATAAATTAAATTTTACTAATGATGTGCCACTAAAATTTCTTGGGGGAATGTAAAGGAAGAAATCTTTATTGAAATGATTCAAAGAAAAGGGTTTATCATGAAAAGAATAAATGTGAAAAGGATGAGAAAGGTCTTGAGATTTTGCACTTATAAAGTTATTTGACATTTTGTATTGTTAGATTCAGACAGTGGGAGACCAGGCAGGACAGAGTGTGTTGCCTCAGCCCACCATCAGCTTAGATAACCAACAGTCCATCATCCAGATACCAACCGGATCACAGGATGGGGCTCCTAATGCTTTTGTTGTCACTGCTGATGGCACACTGGCCACTGATCAACAGGTAAATTTAACACTTCATAGCTTCAAATGTCAGTGATAAAAGTTTAATGTTAATTATTTTATAATAAGAAATTTTCTTTTACAGATTACAGTAAATCAGGGAGATCTACAGCAGGTGGAAGGTTTGGTGACCCAGATAAACCCAGAGCTAACAGAGAACATCCCCCAGGAAATACCACAGGACATTCCTCCCCCGTCAGAAGCCATAGAGAAGATTGAGGAGGAGGAGGTGGATGAGGAAGAGGATGATGACCTCTCTGGATTAGATGATTCCGAGGAGGAAGAGGAACCTTCGGAACACCTCGGGGCAGATGATCCGGAACACCTGGGATCCGTGGATGATGAAAACACTGATCTCCTTCAGGATCCAGATGGTAATCCAGATGAACAGGATGGGTTGGCTCACGCCAGTGACACACTGACTCATGGGAGTGAGTCTGCTAATGTTAGTCTGAGTGATGCTGTGCCCAGGGTGGAGTCCAAGAAACAATTTTCAGCTGAACGGCAGCATATATGTGGGGTAAGAATTTACAGTTCCTCAAGTTTAAGGATACTCTAATTGATCAAAGGCTGTGATAGGTTAAAAACTGATGTCAGAAAAGTTACATTTTGAATGTTTTTTTACAGGTCTGTCATAAAGGATTTAAGAGGGCCTGCCATCTCAAAGAACACATGAGTATCCATACTACACCAAGTGGAGCCTCAAAACAGTCCAAACCCTCAATACACAAATGCTCAGAATGTGATAAAATGTTTCAGAAGCCAAGTCAGCTTGAAAGGCATTTCAGAATTCATACAGGTAATGGTGTAAAAGCTGTGAGTGTATTACATAACTTAATAGTCAAAAGAGGTCTTAAAAAGACAAAAGATCAGCAACTAAATGATAAAAAAAACTGACATGGATATTTTGTTTCACAGACATGTCAGATGTTTTTAGAAAAGTCTCTAATTTTTGTAAATTTGCATTATTATATTAAGAACATGATGTATTTGAAAAATTCCCCCTAAATTTTAACAATTGTATATTCATAATTGCTTCTTTTTAATGCTAAAGTGTATATGTAAAATATTTTTTATTTGAAGGAGAGAGACCTTTTGTGTGTCAGATTTGTAACAAAGCCTTCAATCAGAAGAATGCCTTGAACATCCACCTTAAAAAACACACCGGTGAAAAGCCTCATAAATGTGATTACTGTGAACTGTCCTTCTCCCAGAAAGGAAACCTCAAGACCCACATCAAGAGAGCCCACCACATGGACATGGTACACAGCATGAATCTCCCCAAAACATTGTATGTCCCTCCCACAGCTGGGGGGCTGGAGGAGGAGATGAATTCAAAGGGGGAGGGGTCAACGGTAGAGGAGGATCCAATGAATTTAGAGCAAGTGGCCCAGGAATTGTTCCCACAGTAGCCATATTGTTAGCTTTATTTGTTTTAAAGGTGACCAATTACAAATGGGCTTGCTTCTGCAACAACCAATCAGAAACATCATTGATAGAGGCATTTTAGAATTTTGGTTTTTTGTATGAGATGGTAATAATTGTTATACTAATAAGGGCCAATTAGAAGTCTGTAGAGTTTTCAGGAAACGGAAAGTACCATGGATAAAATTTTTGCAGTTACAGGAAATTTATTTTATGATTGGTTCATGAGAGAAAGTTGCATGTTGATTATACAAGAAAACTTGACTTGTGAATGACAGAACATATTAACTTATTCTAGTCATCAGATTTTATTATTTAATTAATTAATGTGTGCTTTAAGTTGTAAACAAGGTAAATGGTCCAGGTGTAAAATAAAATGGTGATGTGACATTTATTGTGAAAAAATTCTTTTTGTTAAGATTAATTTTTAACTTAAAAACTCTGAATTTGATGTGCTTCCAAAATAAAATGTTGAATTTATTGCTAGCATTTATTGCATTTTCATTCATTTTAATTTGAAGGGGATTTTGTTTAAAAATGTAAACACAATCAGACCACAATATGTTATTGTTTTGTCTTGAGGGAGGTATTTGATAATTCATGTCATGTGTCTGGAGAAGTATTAGAAACAATACAGTGTAAGTGACATACATTGAGGACACTGAAGACTTTAAGTACAGGTTACAAAATGAATGTGCTGCTAATGCCTGTGCATTGCTACAAAGTTTGAAATATATAGAAAACTTCTCAAGAATGACAAAGTAATTCATCATATTTATATGGGAGCATGCCATTATTCAAGTTTGTTCAAACTTGATAAGTTTTACTATATATGTCAGGGCCATAATTCATCATATTTATTATGCATTTAGTTTATTAAGGGAAATATATGGAAAATTCTTTAAAAATTGTGACAAAGCCATAATTATATTTATATTGTGGTAAGATTTAGTCATGAAATATATGGAAATTCTTTAAAAAGTCATATCTACTTTTGAAAGGGATGGCTTTAGATAGGGCGGGGCCAAAATGGCTGACCAAAGTTTTACATAGAAATATATAGGAAAATTCTTTAAAAATCTTCTTTCAAGAATGACAAAGCCATAATTCATCATATATATATGGGCTTGGTACCTCCAGAGGAATAGAAGTAGTTGTTTATGTGAAGACACATTTATAAGATAACATTTCATGACCCCTGGGGGTAAGCCAAAATGGCTGACCAAAGTTTTACATAGAAATATATAGGAAAACCTTTGTTGACTAATAGGTTTTTAAAGATATATATAGAAAATTCTTTAAAAAGATTCTAAAAAATAGCAAATCCATGTGCAACCGATTTTTTTAAAAACAAATGTGTGTAAAATATTGTTGCAAGTGCATGAGCTTAAGACTTAGTTTTCAGGCTACTACTGCTATATATCACATTTTGGTTATGGTCATGAAATAGGAAAGAATTGATTCAGTTTTAAAGTCCTAATTTTAAAAAAATTGAGAAAATTTTAGCATATATTTGAGACGAGAATTGTGTGTAAATTGTTATTACATCACTGTTGAAGCAATGGTCCCACATATTTTGAGACATCCAGTGTCTATACATAAAGCAGGACAAAAACGAAGATTTGTTTCTCCATCACCTTGTACAAGGTATCACCAGGGTCAAAGGTCACGCTAATAAAACAAGGTCATTAGTTTAAGATAACTCTACATGAAGTTAATACAGCAGGTGCAGGGTTAGTAAGCTTTGAAATAGATTAGTTTACTTACATCAGCTGATGACTCACCTGTTGTCTGGCTATTTTATTAGTATATTTTTACCTGTAAGCACCTGTCAAAGCTAGCAGCAAATGCCCTCTCAAGAATTTCCATCTAAATCAACATTTTTCGGTTGCAGGACATTTTGAGTCATTACATCATTATTTAAATGTGTTGGTATAATGGTTTTTGTCTGAAGCTTCAAGATGTCACTTCAGTCCATTGAAAAAAAGATACTGGATTTGAAATCAGTAAAAATTATTTTTGTATCTAGAAGTTTATTGTTACAAAATGAATTGCATTGTGATTGTATATGAATAAAATGATTACCCTGGTCAAATTTGAAATCATGGTACCATAAATATGGATTGGGCATAAAGTTTATCATGCCATCCCATCTGTACTTTCATGTTGAGAAGATTTATTCAAATGCATCAACGTTTTTTGACTTTGATCTTTCCTACGACCTTGACCTCATTTTTCTAAATTAGTGTTTAGCCCATTTTAAAGATTTGATTCAAGATAGTGTCATCAAACTTCACTATGCTGATACATTCTGAAGTAAGGTATTCAACTGCACCAACTGTTAAACCTTGACCTTTCCTTTAAACTTGACCTAACTTTTCTTAAAGTAGTGTTTAGTACAGCTCAGAGAGGCCATTCAAGATCAAACTTCATATGCTGAATACATATTGATGAAGGCTATACAACTGCTTCAACAGTTTGTGACTTTCAATTGAATATTCTAATCAATTTTTCATCCTAATTGTTAGTTCATTATTTATACACTGTATTGACGACAGATTATTCTGTTATTTATTTTGTATTGTTTTATGGACTGATTTTGAGGTCCGTGTTTGCTCTGTTCCTATTTTGTATTGTTTTATGGACTTTTGATCTTGAATACTGTTCGTTATCTCCATATGTTTCATTTCATACCTTGATGCATATTGATGAGGGCTTTTCAATTGCATCAACAGTTTGTGACCTTCACTTTTCTTTGGACCTTGACCTATTTTTTGTAATTGGTGTTTTTACTCAGTTATAAAGAAACCATTGAAGATATCTTTATCAAACTACATATGCTGTAACATATCCCTAAGGGCTATTTACTGCATTAACATTTTTTGAGCTTGCCCTTTCAATCTAATTTTTTGATATAGTGTTTGGCTCAGTTTTAAAGAATACTTCAAGGGTGTTTTTTATCAATCTTTATATTCTGATACATACTGATGTCAGCTATTTAACTCATTCAATTTTTTTTTACCTTGACCATACCTTTGAACTTGTCCTGACTTTACTTAAATTTCCATGTAGCTCAGTTTTAAAGAAACTTTTTAATTATTAAGATATTTTTATCAAACTTCATCTGGTTATACACATTATTAAGAACTAGTATGACTACATCAAAAACTTTTGACTTTGAACTTTCCTGTGACCTTGACCTTGCTTTTCATTAATTTGCTTTTTGTTCACTTTCAAAGAAACTATTCATATGACAAGTACTTCTAAATAAGCATATGCACTGATCTATAATTTGGTGAGAATTTATCAATTATATGTACTGTAGATCACTAAATTTTCGCGACACCTTATTTTCGCGAGATAGTCATTGACTCTTGATTAGCGAGACAAAATTTTCACAAATTGGGGTTATTGCTCTATATAATCTTTAGGAATACTATTATTCATGAGAATTTAATTTTCAAAATTTTCGTAATTAACGAAAATAAATTGTGTGTTATTGCTAAATATACGTATATAATCTTTCGCGAGAAGCAACACACGCGAAATAAAATTACTCGCCTTTATTATTATGGTGCTGAAATCTATGTAAGATCTCTTGATCAACTGTCCATTCGCGAATAATTATTCTCGCGATTTGCCGTTGAAGAGCCCATTCGCGATAATAAGTATTCGCGAAAAATAAGGAATCTACAGTATATTTTAGCTCACCTGAGCCGAAGGCTCAAGTGAGCTTTTCTGATCACATTTTGTCCGGCGTCCGTCTGTTTGTCCGTCCGTCTGTCTGTCTGTAAACTTTTCACATTTTCGACCTCTTTAAAAGTGCTGGGCCAATTTCAACCAAACTTGCCACAAAGTATATTAAAGTTTTTTGAAGGGCCATGCCCTTATTCAAGGGGAGATAATTGGGAATTAATGAAAATTTAGTGGTACATTTTAAAAATCTTCTTCTCAAGAACCACTGTGCCAGGAAAGATGAAACTTTGAAACTATAGTTATAGTTTAAAACTGGCCAACCAAAGTTTTACATAGAAATATATAGGAAAATTCTTTGAAAATCTTCTTCTCAAGAATGACAAAGCCATAATTCATCATATTTATATGAGCATGCTCATGTAGTGTAGATTCAAATTTGTTCAAATCAAGACCCCCCGGGGTAGGGCGGGGCCAAAGGACCAATGTTTTACATAGAAATATATAGGAAAATTCTTTAAAAATCTTCTTCTCAAGAATGACAAAGCCATTATTCATCATATTTATATGGAAATGTTCAGGTAGGTAGATTCAAGTTTGTTCAAATCATTGCGGGGCCTGTGTGACCAAAGTTTTACATAGAAATATATAGGAAAATTCTTTAAAAATCTTCTTCTCAATCATTTTCTAAAAAATAGCAAATCCATGATTGGTCATGGGACTACTTTTGGATTTAAACTTTACAATAAAAAGATTTTATACTAGTCCTATCAGGTGAGGTAATGTGGCCCATGGGCCTCTTGTTTTTAACTTGACCTTTCCATATTTTAATTTTATTATTTCTATAAAACTCTCTGGCAGGAAAAATGCAAATTCAAAAGGATTTTAGTTGCAACAAGGCTGCTTTTGACCTGTGTGACCTTGAGTTGAGCAAAATTGGTGTCATTTGCAGAGAAAATGGGTAACTAATTGTTTACAGAAGTGTAAGAATATACAGCACAGTGATTTTTCCTACCAACACTTAATGGTAGGGTACCTAATCATTTGTTGACCTGATTACTGTCAAAGTTCATGTTACCAAAGGAACATTTGGAAAGATACAAAAGAACAAAACCTTACAATGGTATTGTATATTTAATTCATGATAAGTTTGTGTCCATATCATTTAATAAGTAAAACATAAAATATATAACGATTAATAATGAGAATACACAAAAGTTGATACAATAAATAAAATGGATAGACACTTAATAAGTGTACCACAAATCACTTGATTTTGACGTACATGACTTTAACTGCCATTTTTATGACCATGTAGTCAGTTTAACAAGAGCTGTCAAATGAAAATGTCATTTCAAAATATAACCTTGTTAAATTGCATCAATATGGCTTTAAAACTCATTTTTTCTAATAAAAATCTCTTTTTTTCCATACAAAAAATTTGGTACACAGGCAATTTTTATTACCAGGGAGTGACTACTTAGTCATTTTATAACTAAATCTTTGGATACTTTGTAAAATTGGGTTATAAAAAAAATACTAACTACAAAAAGCTGGCACTTGGAATAAGATTTCAAAAAAATGAGTAGAAAGAGCACTGTAACAAAAAAATGATATGTAATCAAAGCACACAAAAAAACATCATTAAATATGTACAATTATAACAAAATTATGCCTGTACACATTTCTTTCAAATATTTATATGGATTTCAAAACTCAGACATGAATCAATGATTTGTTTCATGACACTGTCATTCAGAATTCTTGTACAATGAGAAAAATAAGCAGCACCCTTCAAAACAATCCTATAAAGTTTTGACAGGAAATCTTGCACATTCATTTTTCAATTATTTTATTATCTTAAACCTGTACTTTTACTTTCCCATCAATCATGTCACTGTGTGATAAACATTAAATAACACTCCTTCATATAAATAAAACAAGGATTTCAAAATTTGACTGATGTCTGTGTCAAAACACCTGAAGATTTAGCACCATTAGTCAAAAGCTTGGTTCATAAGGTGGGTGGTTCCAGAATAACTCTGGTGCTGTTGTTGATGCCAGTGACAGATTTGTAAACAGTTGTCCATCAAAATCAAACCCTCTTAATTTTGCTCTGTAATTACAATGATGAACTACATATAATTTCATACCAGAATATATGATTGATGCTTCTTAAAACATCAAAGAAGGTGAACTACTTCTTTTGCTCCTCTATCATGACTTTCAATTTTTTTGTTCTAAAAAATTTTGTATTAAAAAATATTTACTATCGATATCATATTATCAAACAAAGAAGTGTGACTATCATAAACCGTAATTCTGATATGAAAAGTACAAATTGTTACATAAATCTTGTGTAATTTGGATTGTATTCAAGCCCATTCTTTCACAAAAAGAAAATTATCAATTACTCCCTGCAAGAATTTTCTAACATGATAGATAACGGTATATTTATTGCCCATGTTTTGTATAACTTGACATCTAGGAGTTTTATTCTGAGAGGGGGAAAGGCGTTTTTGTGATTTGATGCACCTTGTAATGAGGGAGTCGAACATTGATAATGATTTCAGCTTTTCCTAATCAGAGACCATAAAACACGTTTTGCTGTCAACCAAAATTACAGCCCGAAATCCATTCTAAGCACATCTGACATAAACTAATTCATACATTGCTACTTGCCCAGAGCTCAGCTATTTACACAAACTAGTTGGAAAAATTATACATTGAGTAGAGGGAATGACATTCCATAATGGTTCATTCTATAATATGATATTATGCAGAATACATTTATGTGTGTTTTATACCTAGAAGAAAAAAATTAATCACCCACAAAATCTGTCTAAGTACTAATTAAATCCTTCATCTTTAAAGCTTTTTTAAACATGGATTTCCATTTTTGGTGTGACACTGTCAGACAAAAAGCTATACAACTTCACCTTAATGCACTGGGATAATGTCTTAGTACATACATAAGTATCTGAGGAAAAACTTAAGATATTTTTATCTTGCATTATATTCAGTAATTCTTAAACATATCAAAAATTTCAAAGCCATTATTTTCCCAAAAATACTGAACAAAACATATAAAACAAGAAAGGAAAGGAAAATCAAAACACCTATATAAATTCTCTTGCTGGATTTCAGGAGTGAAATCAGGTTTTTGGAATGTTAAAACTACAATAACATGTACTTTTCTCTAAAAGATATATCACATGATAATGATCCCTAAATGATTTTCTAAATTATAGTGCTGCCTTTGGGGGGGAGAATGCAGTAAAAAATAAGAGTACTGGAATTTACGAGGGTTTTTTTTCTTCATAAGTTCAAAAGGTACAATCCCCTAGATTACTTTCCTTTCTTGGCAAGCTCCTGAGCCATTTCGTAATACTTGGAGAATTTGGCAGTGTGATCCAGAGGGAGGTAGATATAAGGGCTCATGTTGAAGGCTTCTTTGATTCCGTACTTTTTGACAGAGGACAGATGGCAGCGACTGAGATGGTAGCGGTAGGAACCTTTGGAGGCAAAATGGCGGCTGCAGGCGGCGCAGCGGTAGTCCATGTTAGCATCACTGTCACTGCTATGGCTGCTCTCCTGATCAGAGAAACTGTCTTTACCGTCAGAAAATTCCAATTCGTCCTCGTCCAGTTCCCTTTTTAGGGAAAGATTCAGAGGACTAGTTGACATCGAAGCTCGTACATGATCAAAGGTTTTCAATGAATGTGGTGGCATGATTTTAGGAATGTTACTATTTGTTAAGAGTTTCTGCAGACTATCTAAGGGGTGTTCACTGGTTAAGGATTGACTGTATACGAAACTACTGAGAGAGTCTAAGGCTGAAGACTTTGAGGATGATGATGAAGAAGAGTCCTTATTCTTCTCTTCTTCATCCAAATTCAGATATTTGCTACTGAGGATTTCACCGTTTATCTCCAGTTTAGGAGTGCTCCGGGTCTCTTTTGTTTGTTCCACACTAGGACTTTTGGATCCTTTCACCTCTTCACACATCTTCTCTAGCTTCCCAATGTCATCAGTGGAGGATTTTTCCTCCAATGAACTTTTTTCATCAGACTCGCTTGAGTAAAAGTAATGAAAATATTTTTGATACTTTTCAAGTCTAATAGATGGACTAGATCGCTCAAGAGGCTTTTGTGATGTTTGGCCTACCTGCTCCTTGTTTGCAGATCCCATTTTCACAGAACCTCTTCTGTAATTGAACTCGGATTTGAAGCTCCTCTGAATGAAGCTCTCCATGGCAGATAAAGCTGAGCTCTCTTCTTTAATGCCCTCATCTGTCCCATGGTTGGGGTCAATAATGTCCAACTTTTTGCAATCTCCACATCCGTCATCAATTTTTGCAGCAGAAAATTCTGAAGTATCAACTTTCTTGACATCTGTGTCTATATTTGGAGATTCATCGTTCTCTTCCACTTCTTTTTTCACTTTTACTTCAGAACTTCCATCTTTTTCTGTCTCAGAGTCTCTGTCTTTTTCTGATCCTGATTCCATGGTTTTCTCCAAGTCATCTATTTCCCTTTTGACATTTTCTTTCTTGATTGAAATTTTATAATTCGAATCATATTTGGACAATAACAAACAAACGCGAACATGATCAACAAATTTTCCAGTCTCAATTTTCTCACTGCAATTTTCACAGGTGATTCTGCTATCCTCAGAAGCCCCATTTGAGCTGGGACTTCTGGACTGATCGCTGAGAGGAGAACTTTGGCGGGAAATCTTAGCCTTAGATTCCTCCTGAGAGCTACCTAGAGGTGACAAGGACCTGTCAATCTGTTCCTCTCTGAGGTACCGCTTTTGTGGCAGTTTTAATTTGAAATCGGAAAAAGGCGACATTTGGTGCATTTTCTTTTTGTGATGACCAGAGAGAACCATGTGGTTGGCTAAGCCCTCCATGTCACTGTAAGCACTATTACACACCTTACACTTGAAAATACACTCCCTGTCCAGGTCTCGGTCACAATAAACAGAACACTTGTGTGATCGCCTCCCGTGTTCAGATGTTACGATTTTTGTGTAATGTTGAGTCTGCATCATGTGAACAGTTAACATGGGTAGAGATTTAAAGGACTCACCACACTGAATACACCTAAGAATTTTTTTGGTCTGTTCAGATTCCTGGTTGAGCCACATGTCTTGCCCTCTCACTAGTTTTGGATACTCCATTAGGTTGGTCTGTTTTGTCCCTGCTGGCAGATGTCCAGATTCCTGTAAGTGAAGGCTAAGCCCATACAGTGTACTATAGGTTTTCTGACAAGAACACTTGTGAATTGTATATTTATTGTCTTCTTCTTTGTCAATACTCTCTGAGCTGTCCTTTCCTGTTTTGGTTATGTTTGAATTCTGGTCCTTTTCACTAGTGGCCTTTGAGTCAACTTCACTTTTAAGTTTTTCCTTTAAAATTGGATCTTTGAGTTCTGATGTCTTATTTTCACTTTTATGACTTTGACGTACTGCGAGATCATTATAGATTTTTTTCTGAGAATTTGAATGAGATTTCTGTGAGATAGTGGAGGGAAGTCCCGTGAGAATTCCACTCATTGGTCGGCGACTGGTGCGGAATCCTGCCATGCCACCAAATCGCCTTTGCAGACTTTGTAGACTAGAACCATTGGAGAGGAATCCATTTGTGTACTTTCCTGCTGATTTCCTGGTGTCCACAAATGAACTGGATTTAGATGATCCTTTTGTAGACAAATCTAAAGGTTGATCCTCTGAATGGACTTTTGGGAATGAATATGGACTGGATGGATTGAAATGCTTTGGAAATTTGTTGGAGTAGTGTTTGGATTTCAGAATTGCTTGCCTGGGGTGAGTGGGTGCATGTTTGACCATGGATGGTGTTGCGAAATATGGGACGGCAAATTTTTTGTAATAAAGTTCATCTCGGTAGATTTTCTTTGGAGGTGATGGGCCTTTGTCAGTCATGAATAAGGGCAGCGGGTCCTGCCTCATCAGTCTTTTCAATGGTGGTGTTTCAGGCCGTTTTTCAGGTTCCCTTTTACAATTATCTTCCTTTTTCAGAGTCATTTTGTCACACTCGGAACTATCACTAGATTTTTCAGCTGTCGTCTGCTCCGGTTTTTCTACAGAATCCTGATGATTATCTGATGAGGTGCCACCTTCCAGTGGTTCTAGGACTGTGTTTGAATCTTTGTTTGAGTCTCTCTCAGTTGAGTCTGATTTCTCGTCGAGAGATAAAGTTTTTAATTTTCTGTCATCATCTGATGTTTCATCCTCATTGTCACCTTCTGATCCCTGATCATCATCAGAGGCTGAAAAAAAATAAAGAAAAAATTAATTACACTTAAAAAGTTGTATCAGAACATAATGTACAGTCAAACTTAATTATCTCAAACTCAAAGGGACTAAGCAAAAACTTATGAGATAATAAGAATCAAGATATCTAAAGTTAATTTACTTAAAAAAATATGAGATTCTGAAAATTTAAAATCCCTTCAACATATCCACAGTACCCATGGTATTTGAGATATCAGTGTTTTGGATAACAAAGTTTAACTGTTAATACAACATACAAACTGGACAGCTGTTTCTGTTGCAGGGTAAAATTCAAAATTGCGCAGTAACAAAATTCAACAAAACATTAATTTTCAAAGTTGTATAATTGTATTTTCTTAAACTTCCTTAATGAATTATCATCCTGATGAACAACTTCCCTGATAACATTATACAAACTTGTAAAACAGAGACAGCACAAAGGGAAGTTATTTAATTGTGAGATTTATTTCTTTTCAAGTCCTTATTCCAAACAATAAATTTTAAAAAATTATAGCAGCAATAAACAGAAATCGGAGTAAATCCAATCCAAAAAGAGCAAACACAACACCTTGAGAAAAAAAAGTTCCGTAAAAATACACTTTATTCCAAAGAACAAGAAGATAGCATTGTCACATGGCAAGGCCTGAACAGATTATGAAAGTGAGTGTTTAGCCTGCTTCAAAATGAGTGATAGGTGAATCAGTCATTTAGACTGATGACAATTTATGTTTATTCTAATTGTCTTGTGTTGGTCCAATTTTCCACAAATGTCAATTTCTACACTGTGATATGTCATGGTGCTGTAAGCATCATGTAAATAAAATGCCATCATTATGCAATTCCACTCCTACATTAGACCTAACACATTTAATTATCTCTCTTCTTCAATTAGAAAAATAAAATTCATCTGTGAAAATTCACCAAACAAATCACATATAACTACCTGTCTGAAGATCTAGCCTGATAAGTTTGTCTCTCTTTTGTCCGTCACACACCGATTTGCCACACAATTATTACATGTTTGTCTGTGGCCCATAAAACACACATGAAAGTGCTGTCCATGTGTCAAACTGATTGATAAACACGTCAGTCCAACTCCAGCGCCCAAACAAGATAACCCACTGGACCATCAGATAAGCGAGAGTTATTCCCCTTGAGCTGTGAGGCCAGGTTCCTTTGGCGTACACCTGCGTTCTTTAATGCCAAGCTGACGAGCTTTAGTTGACAGGTGACAAGCAATCGTCAGTGACACCCCATGTCCAGCTGTATCTCTATGTTGATGTGTCCGCTTGACCCCCTCATCGTATTTCATCGGCTTACTAATGGGGGAGACCCTCAGATGAAATGATGTTCTTGTCTAAAGCAACTGACACCCCTTTCTCATATTAATGATGACTCTCTGTCATCTCTCTATTACTCTCTACACACAATAGACAATGCAGGGTTAATTAATCAAGACACTAATTAATGCACAGATGGATCTTTTCAAGGATACTTCAGCTTTGATTGAAATGTAATTTTAAAAAATCCAGACAATTAACATTTTAAATTTACATCTTTTCTGCAGTGCATTGGACAGTTTTAGCATGTTTTGACAGTGATCTCCGTAAGTCCTCTTTTCGTCTGTGTTTCGTTGACAGTCGTCTGTGTTAGTGACTGAGGGCTGAAGGCAGAGGGCGAGTTCTAAAGCAGTGGTCGTCCATTCTGATCAACCCTGACAGATGTACCATTTGATTACAGAAATAATCTGTCAACACTACATGGAATGTACCATAAGTAATGAGTTCTGACACAAAGACAACTCAGCATCACTGCCCTTCACTACTGTGTGTATGTACTTCTGATCACAAATAATCTACCGAGCCATTGTCAAAATAATTAAATTGGCTGCTCAGTGTCTTAGAAATGTAAATCAAAGATGAAATGGAAAAATTATTCGGTTGGACCAAAAAAAGCCTCTGTATATAAAAAAAATTATCTACAATTGTCATAATTAAATTTTCATTTTATTTTATAGTATTTGAATTAAATTAATCAATTCATAAAATAAAAACATATTTACCTTGCACAATTTTCAGTTGCATTGTTTGCTTAACCCTCACCATTCATAAACTTCCTGCTAACAGTTCAAACTTAATCAAGAGGGCAAGGAATTAAATGCCAGATTCTTTACTTAAACACAGAAATGTTAATCCAAAATGACACTAAAAATATCTGTGGCAGCTAATTCCTAGAAGTAATTAAATTTTTATCACCAATCACACTTCCCCAAACACAATGAACATTAAAACACAAGTATCCCTTTACTCAGGTGCCTGTAAATCTCAATTGAGCCGAGTCCACAGCTCGAGTAGATCCCCACACAATATTCTCGGCTTACACCGGCAGCCTGTCACTTGGTTAACTGCATCTCGTTTGTGCAACTGACAAGTAAGCTTGCTTCAGTCGACAGGTTTTTTAAAAAAATCAACAAACATTTGATGAGGAAATATTGATCGCAGACAAGACAGGTGTACAATGAAACTTACAGGTAGGACTGGCCCTCTGAAACTGACGAGTTTCTGATTACAACGAGACAGCCAAGCATTCTGCCTTCCTCTCATCAACAAGATAAATGATTGCAAAGCAAACAAAACAATACATGCAACTTTACATCGTCAGAACCATTTTTTTTTTTGTCTGAGGGGTCCACGCTATGGGCAGATGTTATGTTTTTTTATGCTGATTTTTCAACCACCGTTTGGCTCAGACGGTCTCGGATGTATAAAATAATGAAGTCACCCTGATCTTGAAGACAATCAGATAGGAGGGGAAAACATTAACTTGCCATTTCTCTCTTTCCCACTAAACCAAACCGGATAAGAACAGAGAATTTGATGTGTCACCCATATAAATCAAATGATAATAAGTAAACTAACACGGCTCCTAGTTATAAATTTATGTAAGAGGTGTGGAATTTAAAAATATAAAAAGAAAACTTTAATAAACAGGATGACTGATATCTGATAACATGTTTAATTAATTACACCCTTCAAAACACTTTATCAATAGCTTCTGACAGGGTTTTAAAAATTTATTTGATTTCAAAAATGCAAACAGATAATGTTGTCGATCTTCTGGATATCTCAAATCTCTTTAAGATTAAAAAAGTGTGACTCGGTTTACAAAGCTTTTAAGTTTTTAAAACATGCTTATGACGTAATTGATTGCTTAATATAAAGGAAGACTAATACAAATTTTATTTTTTCTTGATAATCTATCAATAAAAAAAAAATTTCAAGAAATAAAAATTTTCTTAGGAAAAAAAAAACTGATTAAAATGTCCCAAGGATTAGAGAGCTACTGTACCAAGATTTCCAACAATGCATGCTGGGTACAGAAAGAATGATGGGACAGAAGGCCTGTCTATCAGTCCAGGCCTCCCATAAGATCAGAACTGAATCTGAAGAGCTTTGTTTGAATTCATTCCAATTTTCACCTGTCAACCCTGTTGTAAATTTTGGGCCTTTCGAGTTTGACATATTAGTCAGGTTGACATAAATTGACAATGAGTGAGATGTATTGATTTTGCATAAAACTCTGTTGTCTATCAAAACTTCAAGTAGGTGTCAGGCCGCAGGCCAGAAAAGGAGTGTTCCCGGGTCTGAAAATCCCGACAAGAAACTTTACGTGTCAATAAATACTCACTCTGCTTCCGGAATATTTTTTTTCCATTTGTCATTGACGGTCCAGGAGATTTCCCTTTTTTCCTTTTGTAGCTCAAGTCAACAAGGGTGAAAATTGAAGCATAACAAATGGACCACAGCGCTATTAAAATAATCTGATTCAATGTTTCATGGAAATAAAAAATGATGGAATTATAACACCCCAGGTAGAATGTTTTCAATCACCTGTTAAGGAGATAAATCTGACATTGAAACTGAGCGACAGGTGGACTGCTATAATGACTGCACATTTCCTGTGTGCATCGAAGGTGTCCCAGACATTTGGAAGGGAATTTAGATTTATGCACTTTCTGGGGCTTTGTAACACCTTGGGGGCCCATCAACTACCATTGTCTGCAATTCATTGTAGGAGGGAGTTTTGTAAGGCCAGAGTTTCCAAATTTGGTTATCTCTAATTTTAAGATCAAGAGATTCCCAACTCAACTGCTCAGATATTGTATTCAACCTTGAGAACATTCATGATATTTTCTCTCTTTATTTTTTTTCTCATGAAGAAGGATTATTTAATTAGGATTATCAAAAGATACCTGCTTTTCAGAGAGAGAGAGAGAGAGAGAGAGAGAGAGAGAGAGAGAGAGAGAGAGAGAGGGGGGGAGCATCTTCAGGTAAAACAGTTTTCAATAAATGAAGAAATATGAAACAGGTACCTTTCTTTTTAAATTTTCTTTTTCTTTTTAAATTAATTAAATGTATTTCAAGATTCTTCCAACTAGAATCAGTAAAAGTCTTATTTAACAGGACAAAAGTACTCAATATATTTAAGGAATTGTTCAGTACAAAAATTGAGTCATTGTCAGCCCAAAGCAACTTCAGGTACCGGTAATGCTTTCCAATAAATTCTGCTTTCCAATCAAAAGTTTAAAACAACGACATAAATTAGTAACAAAATAGGCTAGAATACGACAAATAACCTTAAAATACAGTAATTATTTCATATGTTGAGTATATAATAGGGACCCAGCAACACTGATCATAAGGCATTCAATGACTTAGCTGGTATATGACTTGGAAATGTTTCTTGCATTTACTTTATGAATACCAATGACCATAAAAATAACTATATACTGCACAGGAAAAGGTGGGAGGACATCTTCACAAAATTCTGAGTGCTAGCAATCAATCAGATTTTACAATGTATAATTACTGTATTTAACAAGTGACGAACCCGTTAAAAATAGTCATTCCCAATACGTGGTGACATCAATGACGCATCACAATGCATGATTGATGGGATGCTTAATTCAATAGTGTCATCATGCTTTGTTTGTTTTCATTTTTTCAAATTTAAAATTAGAAATTCAAACAAATAAATCTGGCATATCATTCTGAAATTTCATACAGATAAATTCTGCGATATCGGTGCTTGGTTTTCCTTTTTTCCCCCAAGTATGTACCTCTTTGTTGGTACATGTAGCATGTAATTAAATGGTTTCCTCCTACTTTGAAAAAAGACAATTTTTACTCTTGTTCAAAATCTTCATTCCCTAAACAAAAAATATTACAAATTTTAACAGCTTTTTAAGGTTAACATAGTCATGGGTGATCTTTTCATCATCCTACATAAGGGCATACCTAGGGGATAAAAGCAGGTAGATTTTACACCTGTGTTATTTCCCCAAGTTTATATAGAAATCAATCATCTGCATAAATATCTCAACAAAAATTCAATACAGGTAATGTTTGATAGGAGAAATACATGATGTGGTTGCACTGTCATATGACATTTTTTGACTTTTTGATTTTATATCCGTAATAGTGATTACACAATCATTTTATATCAATAGGTGAGATTTTAACAAAAAGGATTGGATATTAAAATGCTTGGTTTTTTTCTTCAAATTTCTTCCTTAATGTCAAAAATTAATGATTGTAGAGGGAAGATTTTCTCTCAGATTGATGATGCATTGTGATTTTTTTTTTCTACCTGCAAAGTACATTCCAACCCGGCTTTCCCATCCCCTTGCCTACCCCCCTGGATTTTTTGAGAACTTGTCAAAATAATTTATAACAAGTATTTGCCAATATTGGTCATTGCCTATAAAAAAAGACAGATGCTGTACGGACCTGCAAATTTACTGAAGAACTTTACACTAGCCGTGGGGGGAAGTATTATTTAAAATCTTTTCATATCAAACAGAAAACGTCAGGCGGGTGAGTGATTTATTACCGTCAGATATTACTCAGCGTTTGTATAAAGGAAATCCTTCTGACAGGCGTATGAACCGGGTACCAATCCATCACGAAAAATTTCATTAAATGAAATCTGATCAGGAAAACTCTGACAAGCCAGAAATCAAGCTTTTATTTCTGTTTGCCAACTCCTGTCATATACAGATTCTAGGGTTTATTTTTTTCTCTCTCTCCCTCTTTCTCTCCCCACCTCTTCATCAGAATCAATCAATCATATATAATATTCTTTCAAACTTTAATGGACGATTTCAATTCAAATTTAAACATAACTTAGAAAAAGGCATGTAAGTAAAATTCCTTTAAACAATTTTACTAAAAATGTTTTGCATATTTTTTGTGGAACTGTCACTAAATTCTTGCTACAATCATTAAAAACTTAACACCCACTTGTTATATATTTTACCTATAATCTTTTACATACCAATGCCTCTGTATGATATTAAGTCAGCATTAACATCATCCTCATATCATGTTTTTTGCTACTAATTTGCATGCTTAATTAACAACTATTGTAAATAGCCATGTTTGTAATATATGTAACATTACTCAAAGAAATAAGAATATAATTGTATGTTAATTTTAAGTAAGAATAAATCCTTCGAAATAATACAACATTTGAACAGAGCAAAACCTTGTGGTATTTTCAAACATATTGCCCTTGACCCCATTCAAACTTATTCAAGGTCACTAAATTCCAGTGCATTTTCACACTTGAGATGTGTATCACATTTACAATGATGGTACATGATTGAGAGATTTAAATAAAACCCATTAATCCAATAGTTATTAAAAACTTTATAATCCTATTTGTGAAAATTTGATAGGCTTCACAAAACCAAGAATGAATTTAGACATGTTAGATCTATCTGCCAAATGTTCAGCACACATGTCAATAATACACAGAATCTAATGAAGCAATGATCATGCATTTTGTCAACAAAGAATACTTTTGTGAATTTTTTTTCTCTCAAGATCTTCAAAGCAAAATTCAAGATGTATATCATCATCTCATCAATTCGTTCCAAAAAAAAAAAAAAAAATCCAAACAGAGTTTATTCAGATGAAACAATTAAATGAAAATTTTAAAAGGTCAATTCTTTTTACATCATCAATTTTCAAACAAAAAAAAAAAAAACAAATGACAAAATTCTTAACCCAAAAAGACATCAATTTCCATCATTTCAAGAGCACAATCATTTTTAAAAAAAAATATCTGACATACTTCTGTTGAATAATTAACAGTGATCTGTGGCCTATTTAAGCTGTCTTGCTATAGTTCTACCTGATTTCTGACAGTCAGGCATTGGCAGTTAATCATTGAAGAGAACAACAAATTAGAACTTCTCATTACGACCCCCTGATAAACGCTGTCAATCAGTTGTAATACAGATCGGTATAGATCAATGATTTAGAATTTATTAGGACTTTGACAGTATTTGACAGTCTGTGTTCTGAGTGGGCCCCCCTGGGGAATGACAAATGTTATGATTAGTTTTGTCTATTCACTGGGGATCAGCTAGCTGTACATTTATCAACTCAAGGACGCTACATACCAAAAATAATGTGAAATCTCCATTTGAGAAAAAACTTATGTTTTAGAGATTTGA